CACCCGCATGCCAGCAAAACACCATCAAATTCCATCGCAACCAGCGCGGGGCTGTTACACAAATTCGTCATCTGGCCAATGGTCATCGGCGGAATCCAATCCGCCCTCATCTACCACGACGAAGAGACCACAAACTTTATGTGCTCGGGGATGCAAGCGGTCGGTGAAGAACTGGGCACGGTAAGCATGATAGACGGTGCTCGTCTCGTCGAAAAGCTACAGCGGGAGGTAAAGCACGGTCGCAAGTTCTCGTCATGGGACGAGCTGTTTGAGGGGGCACCCTTGTTCTTGATGTGATTGTGCGTCTTCCTCAGACCCAAGTGTCACCCACGGGTCACCCAAGCATCAAATCGCGGGAGCCATTGGGAGCTTGGGACCATACACCCCGCAAAACGGGATTTCGGGGTCTCGCCCCTCCAAGCAACACCGGGTCAGACAGCCAAGCGTCGCCGATGTGTCCGGGACGATCATCCGAATTCTCTGCATGCCCTTGAGTTGCAGTCGTTCGAGCCGCGGCCCATCACTGCCAGTACCACCAAGCATCTGAGACACGGAACGGCATCCAACGTTTGCAATCTCTCACCAAGTTCCTGCGTTCATCAAACATGGTCTTCTGATTTAGTAATCCACGAACATCACAAAATAGGGGCTCTGAGACAATAGTGTTTGAAGTAGTCATATAATCCTTTGGAAATGTACAGGAGAAAAGGTGCGTGCACGACGCCGGTAAGCTGAAGGGTATCTGTCCCGAGCAGCAGTCAAGATTACAAGTCGGTGTAGTGTCCAGACAAGCAAGGACCAGCGCCGGTGCGATTCTCACACAGCGTCTGGTGATGTTGGGAGCAGTAGGTGCAAATATGCATGCGGCATGTCGGCCAGTGCAAACCTCCCAGCAAACAAACAAAAAGAAAGACCAAGAGCAGGCCCCCAATGCTAATGCAAGTGCGCCGCTAAGAGACGTGACGGAAGACGGTCGTAAAGTGCAATATGCCAATTGCTTTTAAGCAAAACCTCGTCGTCGTCGAACCTCGAAGACTCGCCCCGAGGGTAATCATGTTGCTGTCGTGAGATCGCCGCCCTGCTCTATGTATCGTCCATTTCAGAACCTTTTTCTTTGATTTTTTTTCTCTTTGATCGGTTCAAGTAGCGTAGGCCAGACGCTTCTACCGCTGGATCTCGCTGACGCTGACGCGGCTTGACCTCCAGTCGTTGGTGGGAGTCTGCTTTGAGGACCCGAAGCCGGGCATGGAAGCGAAGCGGCTCAATCGCTTCTTGCTGTGCTCGGTCTGTGTTGGGGCGATGGTTGGCGAAGCAGGCTCGGCGTGGTGTAAGGCATTGACTCGTGGTGATGAAGACTCCTTGCTGGTGGTCGTGCCGGCGGACGAGGAGCCCGTGGAAGTGGGAGTTTGGTAGACGTACTCGCCGTCGACGTAGACTGCGTTGGAGACGAAAGTTGAGCGACGGTGACGGCGACGAGTGTAGCGCTGCTCCAGACGGAACAGCTCAATCTTTTGCTGGATACGTTCAAGGATACCGGGAGCCATTGTGAATGATTTTCGAGCGTAGACGGTCGATGTAGGTTTGAAAAGTGTGTTGTACTCGGGTTGTTCGAGAGATTGATCTTGTTGGTCAAAGTTGATGGCGGGACGAGGCAAACTCAATCGACTCAACTTGGGATGAGATGGTTGAGCAAGTACAGATGACGGGACGTGATGTACGGGAGGACAATGTCTGTGAACGGTGGCAGACGCACGTCGTAATGTAGGGGCGCAACAGATCAGACGAGAAGCTTATCGGTCGCGGTAGGAATGGGTGGAATGGAGGTCGCAATCTTGTGACACAGATGTCTCTGGTGGCTCGGATGTGTTGCAATTCCCCCTTTCTGCCGGCTGGCGTTTGCGGTAAGATGTCTGTCGTATTTTGATAACTGATTGGCAGCAGGTGTCTGATAGTGGTGCCGTGATCGGGTGCTTTGGCTCTTGGATTTGTTCTTTTTTCTAATTCGGCACTCTGTGGCTAAGAGTAGCTTGGTGTCTGTGACCTGTATTGGGAGTCGGTGCGGGAGCGAGGGAACGAGAGGTAGTCAAAACGCCGGGCTTCGAGACCTCTTGGGTGGTTTTGGTTTATTAAGGTGAGTTAAGTTGGAACGAGTGGACTGGGTGGGAGTGTGTGTGCGAGTGAGGGAGATGTTGTATCCGGTCTGGAGTGGTTGGGTTGGGTTGGTCGGGATGGATAGAAAAAGATTGGAAGAATGGCGGCGGCGGCTTGGCCCAAGGTGGTAAAGTGAGTTGAAGGAAAGGTACCTTTAGGTCGGGTGTGCGTGAGGTGTGTGCCGTGTGGTGTGGTGGTGGTGGTGGTGGAAAGGGAAGAATGACAAGGTGCAAGGGAAAGGATTGGATGGCCGAGAAGGGAACTGCCAGAGTGGAAGGGCCAAGGGGGGAAAACTGAGGTACTTTGAAAGGAGGGGAAAGAGCGACTCGTGCAGGGAAGGAACCGTCTACGAATCACGGATTCAGCAGATAGGAAAGGTAGGTACAGATACGGTTGCAGCTTCAGGAAGAGAACCTTGATAATACTGTTACGGATGGTTAGAAGGTACGAAGGGTGGAAAGGAAAGAAGGAGAGGAGACGGGAAGGAATGGTGTGGTGTGTGTCAACTTGCAATGGAAGGAGCAGGCGCAGGAAAGCGGCAGGTGGCAGGTGCAGCAAGAGTTCTTTCCTCTGGAGTAATGGAGACTGGATGGAGTGGGGCAAGGTGAGGTGCTCGGGCTTCTCGAACCTGGACGGTACGGACACAGACGGGGTGGATTCCGTGGGAGGGAGCACTGAAGCACTTTAATGAACCAATCCAGAGGAGTTTGCACAATTAACAATTGGAGCCGCTGGTGCAGCACTGGCGCACTGCAGACAGGTGCAGGCGCAGGTCTGGATATGCATATCGAATGTCACCCGAATGCTCGTTCTCAGAATCTCTCAGCCATTGAGAAGCGCTGGAAAGATGGGAAAAGATGGAAAAGCGACGGGTCCCCCGATAGACCGGTTCATGCCTCGTTTCTTCCTTGCCAGTTCCTGCCCATCGTTTCCTCTTCGAACAATAGCGTGGGATCAGTATCCACCCACACGGACCCACTCATCTCTATCCGAACCCACTCTCCACGCAATCACAGCCAACGATATGGCGCCAGCCGGGACGCCTTCCCTGTCCCGCCATGTGCTCTCCTGCCCTTTCCCACTTGCTCTTTCCCAAGCTTCAAAGCCTCCCGGACGTTGCTTCTCTTTCTTGCTGTCTGCTCCGAGTTTCGTTCCTCTTCCGGTGGAGTTGCATGCACTTGCGGCCAGTGTTCCCAACTTTCCCAACTTTGCTCGCGCAATTTGTTGGTTTCTTCAGCTCCGCCTTCGTTTAGTTTTCTCGCCGTTTGTGCCTCGTGTCGACATGGCCGTTTCAATTCGTCTTTATGTCACGTTTTCTTCCTTTTTTCTTCCTCGGCCTCAACCGTCAGCCTCCCAAGACCGGTCCCCAACTAACTGACACGAACCACGCGAAGCAACGGTGGTGGAGGCTTAGAGGACTAACTCCCGAGTCTCCGTCTACTTTCTTTTGGATGGTTCGTCCGTCTCGGCCCGTTGTCGAATAATCCACAGCTGGTCGGAGAACTCCAGAGTCGAGACGGGGCCTTGGATTTCGACACTTGAACGCTGCTCCCAAACGGTGATCCGCTGCGTCGATCCGGCCTGGAATGCTCCACGATGCCGTTGGTGCTGCACCAGATGTTCCGTCCGGGTATTCTGTCCTGTCTCCCGCGCCTTGCTTGCGTGCTTGCTGACTTTACCCACAGTCCAGACTGAAGACAGTCACTGCACACCATCTCAGTATCCTACACTACTTCCCCAACCACGTCTCAGGGTCCCAGGAACGACGAATTCAGATAACGCACCGAACCATCACCAAGTTGTCACCCACAACCGTCGACCATGATACCATCATCCTCGTGTGTGCCCCTCCCGCCCCTCCACCACCCAGTTCCCCTGAACCTTCGCATTCGGCGTTACATCGCTTCATGAGCAATCGGTGGGACCAACATCCAGGGGTTCGTCCGCTTCGATCCCCGCCCTCCGAGTCAATCACCCCGGCGAAAAACTCCCCCTCAAGCGATATTGCATCTGCGCCGTCGGGTCAACCAGTGTCGTCAGTGCACAGGCTTCAGCACGCTCCTTTCTCGATCCCAGTTGACAGGATTCTGGATATCAGCGATGACTTCAAGACAGGCCTGACAGCATACGTCTGTTGCGCTTCCACGTGATTTGAATCTCCTTTGAGGACACTAGGTTTTTCATTGGCTTTACAGCAGGTATGACTGATGATCATAAGCATGGCTTGTTACAGTGCGTATCTCTGCTGCACCTCTTTCGCCAGCCTAAAGCCTCCTGGGTCAAACTAATATCAACCTCATACGGATATACAACCACCGTATCAACCATCATCTGTCTCCATCTCAGCCATCGATGCCTCGCAAAGATCGTCTTCCAGCTCGGGACAGCGCACTCGCAAGCATTCCAATATCTCCACGTACCCCCCAGAACCATCGTTGCCGTCTGCTTCTTGCAAAATATGCTCCAAGGCAGAGAATCCAAAGGGCTCTAAAGGCCGCCGCAACGCCGTGATGTCTACTTCCGGGCAGCCGATCAAGGCTTCCATCGCCTCCATATTCGCGCTCGTCACGGCGTCAACCAGCGGTGTTGACCCGTCATTAGCTGTAACGTCAAGTTCGATTGAGGGCAAGTCTAGGACAGCGTTCAACGTCTCCCGGTCGCCGTGACGAGCAAGAATATGCAACGCTGTCTCGCCGTCTTCGTTTTGCACATTGAGCTGATCCTCAGGTGCTCTAGAGAGGAGAAATCGGAAGAGACAGTGTCGCTTGCGAGACGCCGCAACATGAAGTGCTGTCTGCCGTACCTGGCGATCGACGAGAAAATCGACGCCACGGTACATTGCCAAGAACCTAGCTGTGGCATCATCATCTGCCTTCGCGATAGCGAGATACAACGCAGTGTGCCCGGATTCAGACGTCTTTCGGTTCACGTACTCTTCGTCCTCCTCCTCTCCGTCGTAGTGGGCCTTGAGAATCGCCTCCACCACTTGTACTTGCCCGCGAAGGGCCGCAACGTGTAAGGGCAGCATTCCGTTCCGGTCCCGTGTCTCCTCCGCCGGCCGGATCTCAGGGTGATATCGCAATTCCGCGTAACATGCCTCGCATCCGACTGAGGCCGCGAAGTGGAACAGCGAGAACCGCCTCCTAAAGATCCGGTGCCACGGCTTGGCGCCTCCCGGTTCCAGGAGTCGATGCACGACGTCCGGCCTGCGGTCCAAGATCGCGGCGTGGACTAGGGTGAGCCCTTGGTTGTCCTTGAGGTCCGATCCGGCGTGGTTGGTGAGGAAGGCCAAGTCATCGAGGGACCAGCTGCTGGCTTTCGGCGGGATGAGGGCGAGATCTCGTGCGAGTATGGGGTATTTCGCGCCCTCTTTGACCAGGATATCGTGGGCCCAGATCTTCGCGTATGGCTGCGAGTCTGAGTAGAGATCGCCGGGACCGAAGAGGAGGCACCCGACAACCGCATGCGGGACCAACTTCTCCCATTCTGGGCCGAACCCCTGTTCCACGTAGGACCAGTCGTAGAGTCCAAACTTCTTCAGAAGAAACGGTAGCCTCGAAGAAAGTGTGGTGGACAAGGAGACTATCGCTTTCAACGTAATAGTCTCCGACATGCTTGACCTGGACCGGAACAGCAGGTCGGAGATTTGTTCGCGTATGAGTAGTCGATGGGTTTCTACTGGACCATCTATCATCGGACGCTTCGGCAAATTGCCGTGCAACTCGGTGAGAGCATTCTCAAACAGCATTCTCTCGGCCAGGCACGCGGGTTTGCCGTGTCCGAGTCTCGTCTTGAGCGCGACCGATATTCTATCTTTGAGAAGAGGTAAGCTCTGATGGAGACCCGAGACATAAGGCACGTCGAGCTGTGCCTGGGCGCCAGGTCCATGGCTTTGGCAAGGGGTCTTTTGGAAATCGAGAATATCCAGCAGAGAGGTTCTCTGGTGATGGTGGACCTCATATACGCTGTTTAGAAGCTGGACTGCGGTAAGTATATCCATCCTGCGTCTTACAATTAGCCGAGTCTAACAATCAAACTGACAGCAGCCTTACAGATCTTCGCAGTTCCAAGCACTGCTAGAGCCATCATGACCTTGGCTATGGGATCCATGTCCTTCCGGGATGCGCATCATGTTTTCAGACTCTTCGTCGCCTGGAGCCTGTCTTCGAGTTCTTTTCTTGACTTCTCCAGGTGAGCATTCCAGCCCTTTGGACAGACAGCGGTCGCACTTTTGCGGCCATGTCCGAGGTTGTGGGAGGCACTTGGTAGCACGCTTGTCAGCAGATTCCCAACCGAAGCCCTGGAAGCTCCGTGATACAGGCAGGACCCGAGTTTGTGATCGGAAAGGGAGCGAAGTACTTTCAACTTGTGTTGTCTGCAAAGCTGACACTTTTCGCTATCCAGTTTCCTGGGAGGCTTCTTCCTTTTGTTGGAGTCATCCTGAGAATCTCTCAAATTTGGCGGCGTTTGCAGAAAGGACGAAGGTGCATGAGGCTGTGCAACCGGCGATCCGGTATTGATGCCCGGGTTGGCCGCCATGAAAGCTGTAGAGGAGATCAAAGTTCGAGAGCCCGTGAAGCTCGCGAACAGCTCTAGTCTAGACGAAGGTTGAGTAGTCTGGGAGCACGGGTTGCGCTCCCACTTATTCACGATGATACTCATAAGGCTGTCATCCGGACCGGGGTTGACCATCGCACTTGTAAGTGCGACACAGTCCGTCATGCACGAGAGCGGGACAGCAGTGGGGTTGACGAATAGCATGGCCGTCGCACTTTCGCCGCACTTATCGCACTTATGTCGCACTCCAAATCGGTATGGATGCGTATGATCATCGCACTTTGCTCACCCCATCGCATCCATGCCGGATCCTTGTCAGCCTTTTGTGAGGCTCAACTTTGGACACAAGAATCGAGTGCGGGGTTGATGAAGCGAAACTCTGCCAAGGTAAGGTAAGCTGAGGTTCTGCTATCTCTCGCAAGCCAAGTCATTCTCAGCGTTCTAGACAGAACACACACACGTAGTCTAGAGATATAGCACTTTGCTCATATTTGAAAGCGTGTGAAACGTTGACTTTGCGACTTTGAACTCCTCTCATGTGCCTGTAGATCACAAGATCAACGTCCATTACACCTCCTCGTCCTCATGACTGCGTGTATGCTCCTCAGGAAACGCAGGCTCAGGCCTCGATCCATACGGTATAATCCTCACCATATGTCTCCTCTCACCCTCCCTAAAATCCGGCACGGCACTGTGTGCTACGCTCTTCTGATCCCACACAACAACCGACCCAGCCTCCCACCTCACCCTACAACTAAAATCCAGACTCTTGATATGATTATGCAAAAACCCCAACAGCGCATCCGACTCCTCGGGAAAGAACCCCTCCACCCGCCTCGCAATCGTCGGGTTCACAAACAAACTCGGCTTTCCCGTGACCGGGTGCCGGATCACCAAGGGATGCGTCGTGGAGACGGCCTCGCGGAGGGCGCGCTCTGTGCCCACGCGCGCGACTTCGCCTACGGAGGCGGAGGTGTGGAAGAGGCGGAGGCCGCGGAGGGTGGACCGGTAGGCGGGGGAGAGGGCTTCGTAGGCTGCTGTTAGGGATGTGAAGGCTGTGTCGCCGCCGCCGGAGGCTGGGGTTTCGAGGACCCAGAAGAAGGTTGTTGAGGGGGTGTTTGGGGTGAAGGTTTGGTCTACGTGCCAGAGGTCGTAGGTTGTGCGGGGACCTAGGAGGGTGCGGAGGTTGCCTCTGCCGTCGTGAGTGTGAGTATATCTGTGGGTCTCGTGATCTCTTGATCCTTGGGTGGTGTGTAAGGGGAGGGAAGTGTGTCTTACGCTTTCTCATCGGCGTAGACGACGTGAAACTCTGGACTTGTGCCTTCTGGATATCCCATCGTGGGGTGCTATGACGGGGCATATCAGCGAATGCGCTCAAACTAAACGTGACCTTCCGAATCATACGTTATGCAGAGGCCCATAATGCCTCACAATCTCCTTTTGCCTGTCAAACCCAATATCGGCAAAATCTTGGTCTCTCTAGAAAGACGCGCACGATTAACATACTATCCCTGCATGACCATGGGTTCACCGCAAACACCGGGCGTGACCATCATCAACCCCTCTCTACACGACGGAAAAACTCACAAAGACAAGAACGCCCCTCTCAGCAGCTAATAGCGCGACCTCGTCCAGATCCGCCTTGGAGAGCTGGCTAAGCTGGATGCCCCGGACCTCGGCGCCGACGCGGGGGGTGATATTCTCCACTTTGGCGGCGCCGCCGTCCCGGAAGATGGAGGAGGCGGAGAGGGAGGAGGACTGGGTGGCTTTGGCCCGCGCGCCGGGTTCTTCGGCTTCGAAGAACGGCACGTCGATGGTCGGCTGGAAGCCGTCGGGCCTGGTGGGGAGGTAGGCTGGGTACAATGGTTCGGTCGGCATGGTGGCTGGATTTTGGGGGCGTGCAGGATTGATGGTGGGAGTAGCGAAGCACGCAATCTTTGCCGTAGAGTAACGAACTGTATGCTGTCGCCTGCTGTCGATATATGTACACAGCTTTCTCAACTGTCGACGAGACTCAATTGGGTGTCGCGTCAGTTCTTGTCTTACTCGATCGGCGCCATTCCGACAAACGTGCTTCCAGCTTCCGACCAGCTCAATGTAATAGTCGAATCGTAGACGCAGGAGTCAGGATGTTCTATTACCTCTGCTCTTTCGGCGGGACACCGACGCGTCACGGCATAAGCCGCCGAAATGGCGACATTTTACGTTGTATCCCTGCCCGCCGGCGACGCTTCCCCGGAGCTGGGATGGCCCATGGAACGCTACGATTCGGTAACGAGAAACAGAGTTTTGGCTAACGGTTCATCTGAATTTCTGCAAAAAGGAATTGGCCGTCCCAACTTTTTGTCACTTCTTTCCGTTCCCGTTCCCGTTCTTGTTTTTATTTCATCATGAAAGATGGTGATGTTGCCATTTCATCCTTTGCCCAATATCATTGAAGCATTGTCTTGAGCGTCGGTGTCATCCGACGTCTTGTCGGGATCTGTCCGCTTGAGGGAGTAGTCTTGGTACATGGCGATGGCGAATGTCGATTGAATGATCGAGTTCAAATACGACCCGGAAAGCCGCTGTTGGAAGATCAGCTGCGTTTTGAGCGATCGGTACCTTGGTCAACGAAGCACCACGTTGAGAAACCTCTTTTGATCTTGCAGCTATTCATCGGAGCAACATCACAAGGCATCATCAACAATGGCAAAGACCGAGCCAGAACCGGCCTCAGCGGAAGCCAGTCCCAACCTCACAAAGCCCTCGATCCCATGGCTAGCCAAGATCCATCCCTACTTTGAAGACGCAGAACACGTCCTCGTCCTCAAACTCGACCTCCTCCTCCTATCATGGGCCTTCATCGCCGGCCTCATGAAGGACATGGACCAGTCCGCAACGACAGCAGCCTACGTCTCGGGCATGCAGGAGGCCCTCTCCCTCTACGGCAACGAACTCGTCGAGTTTACGACATACTTCTCCATCGGCTACGCCCTCTTCATCGTCCCCTCTCAACTCATCCAAACCCGCATCCGCCCGTCCCTCTGGTTGCCATTCTGCGAAGTCGTCTGGGGCGCCATCACCCTCGCGACCTTTGCTGCCAAGAACGCCCGCACAGTCTTCGTTCTGCGCTTGTTCCTCGGCGTATTCGAGGCGACTTCGTGGCCGGGCATCGTGAACCTCATCTTCAACTGGTACACCCCCTCCGAACTCGGGAAACGGCTCGCTATCTTTGGGGTGAGTAGCCAGGCCGGCAGCATGTTCCTCGGCATCCTCCAAGCCGCGCTCTACAAGAACCTCAACGGCGCACACGGCCTCGAGGGCTGGCAGTGGCTGTTCGTTGTCTCGGGCATCATGACGATCGTATGGGGTCTCTACGGCTTCCTCGTCATCCCCGACGCTCCCACCACGACCCGCGCCCTCTGGCTCACCGCAGACGAACGCGTCCTCGCCGCATCACGCATGAAGAAGTCCGGGACGACGACCCAGGAAGTCATCAAAGGCAAAGCCCTCTGGTCCCGCGTGCGGAAACTCTTCACCTCGCCCATAACGTACCTCTTCCTCGCCGCATACCTCCAATTCGCCTGGTCTCAGCGCGCGAACTCGTATTTCTTACTCTACCTCAAGGGTCTCAAGGCCGCGGACGGCACGACGGCGCTGTACTCTGTCTACACCGTCAACCTCATCCCGCTCGGCGGCTACGCGATCTCCATCGTGGCTAATGTCTCTCTCAACGCGCTGAGCGATTGGAAGGACTGGCGGTGGCAGGTTGCCGTCGGCGCGGCGCTGCTTCAGCTCGTGGCTACATCTGTGCTGGCAGCCTGGCCTAGTGGAAGGGGGACAATTATGACGTTTTATTTCTTGACGTTTGCGACCGCGGCATGGGGGTATGCCCTCCTCGCATGGCTTGCCATTATCTTGCGTAAGGAGCCTGAGGCGAGATCGGTGATTGTTGGACTCGCGGTGACGCTTGTGTATGTTGGGCATGCTACGATCCCGCTGCGGGCGTGGAGGACGGCGGATTCACCAAGGTATCCTATCGGGTTCCCGCTGGCGGCGGCATTTAGTGTTGGGAGTATCGCTTCTATCCTTGGGATGCTGTGGTATGTGCGGAAGTATCCCGACATTCTTGATTTTGGTCTCAATTGGAAGTCGTTGAAGGAGGCTGGGGAAAGTGTTGCCACGTTGGAGAAGGTGGATGTTCAAAGCGACGATGGACGTGAGAACTAAAAGGGGTCTACCACAGAGGCGACGAAGGCTTTGTCATGATAGATACGAACTCAACTCTTTTCCTCATTGTTTGAGATACCATAGCCTCCCATACCGTCTAAGGATGAACGACCATACCCCGGAAAGCTTCCGCTGTGCTCTACAAAACTTGCTCATGCGTCGTCAGTCGATGCCGGGACTGATTCGACTCGAGCTCCATATCCAGACCTACCCCCGACGCTCGAGTGAAAACGCCATCCCTTACAGCAAAGCGATCAGACTTGGAGGCCTTCGCCAGACGGCCCACGTCATCGTCAGTGGCAACTCTTGCGTCGTGGAGCAAGTTTGCCAGCTCGGGACTTTCTGATATTTGCGCAACAGTGTGCCACGCATTCTCGGGTAGACTGTACCGCGTAGACCGGAACAGCACGGCAGCCGCAGCGAACGAGGCCAGGAAGACGACCAAGATCCCCACGACGGCTAGGTACCCCCTAAAACGCCATGGGATTGATGTCAACTCAAATGTGACAACATCCGCGGTGTCCGTTCCGGGTGCGGCATAATTGGGAGAGAACGCGCTGAGAAAGTCGTAGTAGACAAGCCGCGCAAGGGTAAAGTACACCGCCTGCATCGCACGGGCCGGATACCCCGTCTCGTCAATAGTGTCACCAAATAGTCGCTCATACACCACGTCGCTGGTACCGTCCTGGGAATCGAAATTGGGAGCACAGTAGAGGCAGAAGGCGATGGGCATAGAAGGCATCCGGAAGTAGGTGACCCGGTCGAAGAACCATGTCAGGGAGCGGTCGGCGGCGTACTGTTGCCATTGAGAGCCATCGCGAGCCTCGGATAAGGCCGAGTCTAAACTGTCTTTGCTGATGGACAGAATCTGGCGGTCTTCGTGGGATAGCGAGGAGGCGTCCTTGACGGCGCCTAGTTGTCTGCGCACTGCGCTCGTGTCGTAGATCTCTCTCTCAACATCCCATTCGTAGGTTGGTTCTGTTCTGTTGCTTGAGCTGGTTGCGGAAACGTTGAGATACTGGACCGAGTCCGGGTAGCTGTCAGGAAGGACTTGCTGTTAGTTAGACACTACCGCAGGGGAGAACTTTGTAGAGCAGCCGGGCTCAAAGAGATTTGGGTACTCACTTATAGAATTGTGCACACATCGTCATGTTGAAGTTGATATACTGGTCTTTCTCAGCGGTGTCAGAGTCAACAAGCCTAATATGCAAAGACTCCCTTGTCCACGGGCCAATGCCTGTCGAACTCAGCACCTTTACCGTCGATCTCAAGCTATCAGAGCTCATGTTTCTCTGAAGCCTCCCCGCATCCCACACGATTCTCATCGTCGTCATCCTCGTGGTATTGTGAAGAGACCAGTCAAATGACGTCCAGTTTAGTGTCTCGTACGCGCAAATCTGCCAATCGTACTGGCTCCCCATGTATCCCGTCACAGGGCAGCTAAAGTTAAAGTTCATATTATCCGTCCACATTAACCCCACCGCAGCAGCAACGTCCACGTCGGGATCGAGCCGTATCGACCCGTCTGTCCCGTTACACGGGCGGACGTTACTCAGCTGCGGCCTCGTGCAGACGAACCGCGTATCGAGGACTCTGGCCATGCCCTGGAACTCGAGGAGCGACTCGCGTTCCTGCTGCGATGCCACCGGGAGGAAAGCCCTGACCGTTGGGCCGGTATCATCGAGTTCTTTCCCCTCTGCTGCCGTGCCCGTATACTCTGCAAAGGTCTCTGTGAGCCGCGGACGTTGGATCCAGTAGTTATGGGCGTACCCAGAGACGGCTTCTGGCGGCCGACCGCTCAAGAGGTTTCCCGTCATAAAAGTGTACGCATTGGATACCGAGTCCGGAAAAGTGACGACCCGACGCTGCTCGAGATCCGCTACGAGGAGCGTGGATGTGAACTGCGTGGCAATTGTCGTGATAGCCAAGAGCGCGAATACCACGCGGACCAGTGGCTGAAGCGACGAGCTTGTGAGGGCGAGGAGACTGAGGGATAGCGGACCATCACTTGAAAAGCGCGCGACGGAGACTTGGGCGATGTCGTGGAGGTATACGCCCCTCCGCTCGACCGCGACGGATGTAATCATGGCCGTTGCTGCCGTCGCTAGTATGCCTATCGCGGTCCGGATGACGACGGCGGATAGAGTTATGCTTAGTTGGAGCCGGTTCGGGGCGAGGACCCATTTCCGCCAGCGAACGTCTTGGTGGGGTGCCCACCATAGCCATGATATGAAGGCGACGGCGCCTGCGAGGAAGAGCAACGATGCGACGAGACTGGATTTGAGGAAAAGACTGAGGCGTTTCGGTGCCTGGTTGGGTATTCTCTTTGATTTACGGCTTGCGTCGCCATGTTGTCCTTCGATGGGCCGAACTTGACTGAGCTGTTGGCTCTTGTTCGTATTGAGGGGCGACCGGTTGGAGGTGTCGCGATCTAGAGGTTGATACATGATCGGCTCCCATTCAGGATCAACATTTGCTGTGTTGAAATGCACACAGTCTCATCCCCAACAAGATTTTTCACAGCGGATCTTCACTTCGATGTTGAGATTTAAGACCACTCTAGTCGCCACACAAAGCGAAATATGTTCTGCAGGATGATACCCATGGCTCAGTCAGCCAGCCCTGTGGAGATCTTCAGTGAAAGAAACAAAGTGAGGCTGCGTGCTTATTTATATCCACTGAGCAACGTAGCCGAGCCCCAACATACGACCATTAGGCAGTGATTTCTTGCAGGGTCACTAGAAGAAGGCGACGATTGACGTGTAAATACAGGGGATTGCCACCATTCAGATGCTCTGAAATTGCGGTTTTCCGACTTGCTTACACCCCAGGACCTGGCAAATATGCACAACATCCCAATGGCGAGCATCTCTCGACGCTTAGAACTGCCCGAGAAAAGCTTGCAGTCCACATCAGTTCAGCATGATTTCGATCTTGACGTCTCTTTTCAGTCATGAGAAAGCCCGCAGATTGTCGAAGAGTTGCACAGGTCAATGAGGCTTCTTCAAATTGAACAGGGGCCGGTCATTCATCAACTTTACTCAATTCGTGCACGAGACACAATCGCAACGTTTGACGGCTTTCTCACTGAGCTAAGCCGCCTAAAATGACTGGACCTTCTGTGATCCCAGCATCACGGACCCTGTGGAGTTTCTAACATGTAAAATCTGTGCCCGGGTGTAGAACGCATTTAAGCATAGAAAGCCCAGCGATTCGCGTCGCCTGCATAATACTCTATTCAAGTGGTTCCTAATTGTGCGAGTCGTGGCAAGTCGACGGATTTGTTTGATAGCGCGGCCAAGTAGTCACTGCCTGGCTACTAACATCCTGACAACCCCCGCACGTGCCCGGCGAGTAAAGGGAGAATATCTTGGTTTCAGACCGCTCATCCAATTCACCACCAGGTGCTCACCAATATTGAAGCGCGAGATATTACTTGCGGAAAGATTAGAGTCTCTCCTGTTATTGCTTGGCTGAAAAGATGGTGGCGACAAAGGTCACATTACCAGAAGACCTGGGATCAAAATCTTTTGTTATGTTCGATGACTTGGTTTCAAGAGGGAAGCTATTCTACAGTGAATCTCAGAGCGAGATTGTAAGCCACAACGGCTTCGAGGTGCGGATGATATGAATCTCTACCCAACAGGCATTAAATCTTCCGAAAAAACCTCTAATCAGACTCTTCCAGTTCGAGTTCCGCATTAGTCCAGCCTTGAAAAGAAAGCCATATCTAGAGCGAGATGATCCCAAGCGTACGACGGAAAAGGGGCCGTTCCTCCACCCGGATCCCGAATTTGTCGCTGCCCAAGTAGGATCCCATCATGCACTAAAGTTCAATCTATGATGCATGTATCGGCCGGCATTCGTCCTGTATACCCGAGTCTTTGAGCCTCAGACTCGAGATCTCAACCTGGGTGACGTTGAGGCTGCACGTGCTGTGATGGCTGCACTGAAGCCCACTCTGGGGCCTCAACTGATGATTTACAACTGTGGAGTCGACGCCGGATCATCTCAGGGCCACAAGCATGTGCAGATTTTCCCTCAGCCACCTCGACTTTTGCTATATCCTCAAAGAGCGACCTCTGATAGCGATAAGAGATCAGTAATGCCGGTCATTCTCTAGAGCATTGAGTTCAGACTAACACATCATGTGACGCTGACAAATATTCTAACGCAGAGATCGATTCGCGTATCCCTGGGGTTCCTAACCAACATTTTGTGTTGCGGTTAACCCAGGGAGTGACCCCTGAGCAGACCTATCGCAGTCTGCAAAGACTAGTCTGCGCAACTAGAGAGACTCAGACAACCGGCGGGCGAGGCTACGACTACAATGTCATCATGGCTGAAGATTGGATATGCGTGGTGCCGCGGCGACTTGTGGGGAGAGACGGGGTAGGAGCGAATGGTGCAGGCATGGTGGGTCTGGTATGGCTTCGAGACCAGGCAGAGAGAGACGGTTGGGACTCTTTTGGTTTGACAGATCATCTTGTTCAACTTGGTTTACCGAGGGGCTAAAGATTAGAGACTGAAGCTCCTAAACGAATAGAGAAACTTGCTCAACTGGGGCAACCATGTGAAGACTTTTCATTGAGTTGCCTGCCACCGCGTTGAGCGAGTTGTTCTCGCATACAAGCAATCGAAGATCTTAATGTTGCGGATGTCTCCTCAAGCACGGTGGAGTTTCACATTGTGTAGATGGCGCAGCTGAAATCTCGAAACTGTCATATTTCTGGGTTTCTTGGTCCTTTCGTCCATTCTCTTCAAACCTAATCTCGACGGCTGCTTCTTTATTCGAGTATGATGACTATTGCAACTGCACAGTATAACTTTCAATTTTCTTACTCATTTTAGTTGCTTCAATGGATTCCCGAACGTGAAGTCATCAAACAATTGGGTCTAATACGTATGACACTGTCTAGGTACTGTCGACCTAACAAGTACTCAGTTTAAGATGAAGCCTCCTGTGCGGCAGCAAAAGCATGAAGACTGCCTGTAGCTCGAGGATACACAGTCTGACCTGTCCAAGGACCATCGGTCCCGTTGACTCCATCATCCCGGAGACCCAGCTCATCCGGAATACCCCAGCCTCCTCCTCCCGGAGTGTGGATCACACATCGATCGCCTGTCTTCATATCCACCTGACCTCTGGGCCCGATACTGATCCACCTCTCATCGCCATCGTCTGTCTTCTGCACCCAGTAGTTGGCACCGGACTCTCCGTTCTCCCCGCCCATCATTCCGTATGGCTGGTGCACGCGGCGCTCAGAGATGATGCCGTACGTGAGAGGAGCTCGACACTCAAAGTCCCGCACGATACCACAGCCTCCCCGGAACTTTCCATCACCTCCACTATCTTTTCGGATAGAGAACTCGCGGATGAGAACCGGGTAACGCTTCTCAATGATCTCAATGTCCGTCGTTCGGGTGTTGGTCATATGAATTTGGACACCGGAGGCGCCGTGCCAAGTCGGACCGGCGCCCTCACCCCCACAGATTGTTTCACCATAGCCGAAGCCGAAGCCTTCGGAGTTGTCGTCCTTAGGATTCTCTGAGGAGGCTGCAGGATCAACAGAGTTGCCGAAGAACCCGAAACAATTCATGCACCCCTGAGATCCGGCTGCTGCTCTGAATGCCTTGAGAAGTAGATCGACGAGTCGTTGCGAAGTGAGGGTGTTCCCGCAACAGACGGCTGACTGTGGTCCAGGATTCAAGAAAGTGTTCTTCGGAAGAATCACCTTGGTGGGTGCAAGGCAACCTTGATTCAGCGGGATGTCGGATCCGATCAGCAACCGAAGAGTGTAAATCAGAGCCGAGTAAGTGATTGCAGGCGGCGCGTTCATATTGGAGAGCATCTCGCAAGAGGTGCCTGTGAAATCGAAGGTACCAAAGCCGCCTTCATCAATGGTGATGGATACTTGCATCCGTGAGCCATTGTCAAGGTAGTCCACAGCCTTTAACGGCTTCGAACCGAAGCGCATGTATGCGGACGAAAGGTATCTTCGGACGGAGACCTCGGCGTTCTCTTGGATCTTCGCCATATAAAAGTGCACCACTGACCTCCCAAACTCCTCCATGAGTGCCTTGATGAGAACGCTTCCCTTTGTGTTTGCTGCGACTTGGGCCTTAAGATCCGAGAGGTTGTCTGGCAGACGTCGAGAGCCGCTGCAACCCGGGAAGAGTCCAGGGTCAAGGAGGATCTTGACAATGCCCTCTTCGTCGAAATTTCCGTCGCGTATCAGGAAGAAAGACTTGATGGCAGCACCTTCTTGCCAAAGTTCTGTAGAGTCGCTGTTACTCGAGTCAACAAAAGGCTACGATATATACGATGGAGTACTTACGGAGGCATTGAGTTTCCCTTTGATCCACCAATGTCCAGATGATGACCTCTGGATGCGGTGTAGAAACATATCGTCTTGCCATCCTCGTCGAACACTGGTGTTATCACCGTGATATCTGGTGCCATTTAGTCTGCCGCTGCATTTTCATCGAATCACAAGAACCTACCTGGGAGATGGGTTCCTCCAGCTTCGGGGTGATTTGAAACCAGCACATCACCAGGACGGAGACTACCACGATGCAATTCATGCTGATACTTGACCGCATAGCTCATGCTGCCCAAATGAACTGGCACATGCGGAGCATTTGCAACCAGGTCACCTACTGGACTGAAAATAGCACACGAAAAGTCCAATCGCTCCTTAATGTTGAGTGAGATACTTGTCTTTTGCAACGTGCGTCCCATCTGCTCCGCAATGCTCATGAATCGATGTCCGAAGATACTCAGTTTCACAGGGTCAACAACCATCTCATTGGTCTGTACTGCATGGCTCTTGCTAGCCTTTTCGACGAGATCGATCACTACGTGGGAGGTCAGGATCTTTGCTTCGGCTCCGGGGACGACAACGATGGTTTGAGTGTTATCGATGACAATCGCCGGACCCATAATCACAGCGCCAGGTTGCAGACAACTGAGCTGGATGATCTTGGTAGACTGGAGTCCCCCCATTGTGAAGAACGCATCAGTCTGGTAAGTCATTAGTGTGTGGCCGAATGAATATAAACTTCGCCATTGAAATTTTGAACTTACAAGATCATTTTCAACCTTCAGGGCACTTTTGAAAGACAGCGATTTAAGCTCTTCAACCAAGCGGGCGTTATCACTGCTGGACTCGTCCGCTTTTCCAACTCCTCGAACGCGAATGTCGTCAACGTGGACCTTTCTTGTTCTGGGAAATGTGAAGGATAGCTCCCGTAAGTGCTCCCGCTCAAGAGCCGCCAACCAGTCTCCGTCATCTGGTTCCAAAATCATGAAGTTCGTGTCCGTACCGTTGTATCTCAAGTTAAGATAAGATTCGTGTTCGATTGCTGATTGCTCGATGTTCTGTGCCAAAAGACCACCAGTGGCTTTCTCCTTGAGGAAAGATAACCTGTCGTTCAACCTCGGTAGAGACTCCTCTGCTAACATCTCGGAGCTGGGCTCTTGGGCTTCTTGCACCACCTCGGCGAGTGCCATGCCATACGCCGACAGGATACTCGAGTACTTGTGGATGACTATGCGTCCGATTCCAAGCTTCTCAGCAATTTCGCAGGCATGTTGACCACCAGCGCCACCAAAAGTAGCTAGGTTGTGGTCGGCAGTTACGAACCCACGGGCTTCAGTCAAAGCACGGATCGGCCGGCACATAGACTCGTTGGCAACGTCGATGAAGCCTATTGCAACTTCATGTGGCGTCATGGAGCGGCCGGTGTCAGCATTGATCTTGTTGGTGAGCTCTTCAAACTTCTTTGCTACGATATCGGAATCGAGAGGTAGGTTCTCATCCGGACCGAAGATCGCAGGGAAGTAACTCGGAATGAGCCGACCGAGACTATGGTGTAGGCTGTTAGCATCCAGCCTTCTGAAGCGTCATTTTCGGTGTACTCACAAGAGGTTCGCATCAGTCACTGTCAGAGGACCGCTCTTCCTGTAGGAAGCAGGACCAGGATGAGCACCCGCACTCTGCGAGCGAATATCAGTCAACGAGGTTCATCGACATGAGGGACGCTTCAATTTACTTCTGGTCCAACCTTAAATAAGCCATCTCGCCAGAAGAGCATGCTTCCACCACCAGCGGCAACAGTGTTGATGTCTAGTTGGGGGCTTTGGATAGAAACGCCAGCCGTAGTGGACTCAAAGACGTGCTCCAAAGAACCACCGTACCGACTGACATCAGTTGAGGTACCACCCATGTCGAAACCCACAATGGGAGACTTTCCATCATACGAAGTCCTAGCATGGCCGACAACACCACCTAAAGCATCGGAAAGTCAGAATCACTCAGGCCTAGAAGTGATCGAGGGAGACGTACCAGCTGGACCACTCAAGATACCACGCAGCCCACTGAAGGCTTTGTGACTGACTAGACCACCGTCGCTCTGCATGAACTCGCACGAGATGTCATCGAGGTTACCATTTTGAAACTGCTTCGCAAAACCTTCGACATACTGCACAATTTCAGGAGTCAGGTATGCATCCGCCGAAGCTGAGCTTCCGCGAGAGATCATCTTGATCATGTTTGCGCCAACGCTCGATGACGTGGAAATATGGCCGAAGCCGAGGTCGCTCGCAATCTTGGCAACCCTGCTCTCGTGAGCTGGGTACATGTACGAATGCGCAAGGCAAATTGCCAGCGTCTCAATGCCCTTGGACTTGACATCCAAAAGCTTCTGGCGGACCTCGTCCTCGTCGAGGGGTCGGACTACACGAAGCAAGTCGCCGGTCACCCCCCTGACGAACAGTCCCGGGGACTCTTTGGGCTGAGTGCGACTGCTCTTGAAGGCATTCTCATCGTAAGCCTCCACAGTCAGGCGTTCCGAAATTTCGACAACTTCATCGTATAGAAGCTCTGGCTTGCGGATCCCGAGGTCGAAGAGTTTCGGCCTGGACTGATAACCAATATCGAGGAGGTCGCGGAAGCCCTGATTCACAACGAATGCATGTCGAGTTCCTTTCCGCTCCAGTAAAGCTTGAACGGGTGTTAATCGGTATTTTTGTGGACGTAGAGCTTTCAGAGAAAGTCACTTACCGTTCGTAGCCACGGTAGTGCCCATCCGAATAGAGCGGATGAGATCCTTGGGAATAGGAGACCGGCGAGGAATAGCTGTGCCAGACACCATTTCCAAGACACGTCGGATGCCCTCTGCCGGTGCGTCGTCATAGTTGCCCGGGTCTACTGATAGCAGTTTCAACACCACATCACTTTGACCCGGAATCGATGCCCAAACATCTGTAAATGTTCCGCCACGATCTAATGATGTGAGTTAGGCGGTTCCAAAAAGGCAACTGTCATATTCAAACCAACATACCAATCGCGAACTTGACACTTTTAGGCTGAATATTACTCGAAGCCGACTCTTTCGCCATCATGGAATCGCAATTAAATTGTCGCGAAAATCTTCCTCAGATGAACGATTAGTGTCAGGTTCAAGTTTGGTTTTAAACCGCCCTCGTGTTTGATGAGAGCCTCGCTACTGACCTCATACATGGCATTTTCTTCCCGCTATCGACACCGGACTTACATACCCGACAATGCATCGGAACGATATGAGATCTAGATTGAGGCCGTCGTTTCGGCTTGCCATGCAGCTTCACTCCTATCATTGACGGACATCGTCGCACGCATGCCGGTGATCTGCAGCTTATGCATACTGAGCGGCACAAGTGGGGTATGTCGTCTTAGAGGTTGGATAGAATGGAAGGGTGTGATAAGCCACCACCCGACGCTACCTCAAGCACGTCGCCTCGGCCTTCCTGGTGTCTGAATCTTATCGACGGCTGACCGAAGAGTGGAGACCGGGATGCGGCCGCAGAACGAACATGGATGACCCAGATGATAACATTTTCCGATGTTGGTTGATATGCCTACTTTACGTCTTAGTTGACTGCAAGATTAGCTGGGACTGCTGTAGGACTCCCTGGTTTACAATGATAGTCATGGCTAGGTTCGTTGATAGACGTTGGCTCCAGGGATCAGACCCAAGACAAAGCAGCTTGTACAACTTCAAGGGGAATGCTAAGTCTGGATAGACCCTCCAACGGTTATAATACCTGCAATGTCCAGAGCATAAGGTCATCTGCAGACGAAGTTTCCGCCGCCTCTACATCCATCATCAGCTGTTATTTTTGTTCGCTGAGAGTTTGGTGCTTGCTCCAGTGGATACCAAGCAGGTTGCACGGGTTCCGCCAGCAATATGGTCGAAAAGAAGGAAGCCCCAAGCGGCCATGCCGACGACAATGGCATCCAGTCTAGCGTCTCCAATACTCAGGGCCAGTCTGAGATTCTCAAGTCGCCCCAGGATGGAGTCCTTGATGAGGCAGCGACATTCTTGGCCAATGCTGATGCATTCCCACCTATGACGCCCGAGATGGAGAAGAAAATCGTGAAGAAGATTGATGCATGGATGATACCCTTGGTAGGATTTTTGAAACTCTCTAGCCCAACTGCGTGACACCATTCTGATTATGCGAACTTATAGCTATTGTTCACTGCAACTCTCGGTGCAGTTGACAAAGTCCAGATGGGAACGGCGTCTCTCTACGGATTCCAGACAGACAACAAGTTTGTTGGCCAACAATACAGCTGGCTGGGAAGCGTACTACCCTTAGGCGTGAGTGAACCTGGAAGCAGAATTGACAGGTTTCCCGGTGCATTGGAATTGACAAAATTAGCAATTGATCGGATATGTCGTCGCTTCCTATCTTGTTCTCAAGTTCCCGCCCGCAAAGTTCTTATGCGGATCGTCGTTACTTTGGTCTGTCTTAACCTTGCTACATGCTCCATGCAGAAGTTGGTCGGGGTTCATGGCATTGCGCTTCCTCATGGGCTTCATTGAAGCGGCCATCTCCCCATCTCTCACTATCCTCGTATCCAGTTTCTACACCAAACAAGAGCAGCCTCCGAGGAATGCGAGTAAGTTATGGACTTTGAACACAGTTATTCTGTAGCATGTACTTATATCTCCCTTTCAGTTATCTTTGCATACTTTTCATCGGTCTTCAACGGCTTCTTCGCCTGGCTCGTAGGCAAGATCCCCGACTCGGCCCCACTCCTGAAATGGCAGTATCTCTACCTCATCACTGGAACCATAAACGTCCTTTACTCAATCTTCATCTGGTTCACGCTGCCAGATAGCCCCATGAACGCCCGCTTTCTGACCGACGAAGAGAAATATCACGCTACGAAACGCCTCGCAGCTAACCGAACGGGCATCTCCAACAAGGTCTGGAAGTGGGACCAAGTTTGGGAAGCTCTCTTAGACATAAAGATCTGGATCATCTTTATCTTCAACATTTTCATCAACATTCCGAATGGCGGGCTCGTCAATTTTGGAAGCATCATTATTAACAATCTCGGCTTCACTTCGCTGGAGGCGAGCTTATTGACCATGCCGTTTGGTGTTCTGGCTACCTCTAGTGCATGGGCCTTCAGCTATCTTGCCGCTAGATGGCATAACCGAAGGACGTTGGTGGCGTGCATCGCTCTCATGTTGCCGATCTTGGGTACTGGATTGGTACATGGGTTTCCCAGGTCAAATGTGCCGGCCCAGATGGTCGGACTATACTTCATGTACTTCTACTGGCGTAAGTTGTCATTGAATATCTGGGAAAATATCTGGGAAAATACATGTAGTCTCTAACAGAGTCCATAATAGCTCCTTATGTCGTTGGGATATCGCTTCCACAAGCCAACACAGCAGGTCAGACGAAAAAGGCAGTGTGCTTTAGTCTGGTCCAAGTTGGCTATGCGGCCGGCAACTTGATCGGACCCCAGACGTTTCGGGCCGAGCAAGCACCCAAGTATTCCGGAGCCATCATCGCGATGCTGACAAGCTATGGTGTTTCTGTCTTGCTGATGCTGGCATATTGGCTTGTCGCCTCCTGGGAGAACAAGAAACGGGACAAGAAGTACGGCAAACCTCAGGAACTGCAAGAAGGAACCGTTGATGGGTTCGTGGATATCACGGACAAGGAGCAGAAAGATTTCAGATATACCACTTGAGTAGTATATAATAAGCCAAGGGACAATCCCCGAAGGAATTTTGCAGATAACAGTGAAAAAGATATAGCAAATAACATAAGCACCAGGATTCAACTGAACTTAAGCAAGACTCATGGCATCATAGCGCCCCTCTAAAACAGCCCAACCTTGCTTCCCTTTACAGGAGTCAATATCTCGCGCTTTCCAAACATTCTCAATGATTTGTCTCGCTTTTCTGACGTTCCCTAACTGCCGTGTTTGTTGTAGTAAGTGTAGTCGCTCCAGTATCAACTTCCTGTCGCTATCAGATTCTGAGCGGACTCCAAGTGTCGCAACTATGAAAAGTGGCCAAAGAACAGTATTTGTTTGAAGAGAGGTATGCGGAAGAAGTTCCAAGATTTTGTCTGTGAGTCTGATCATGTGTGGATCCGAGGGGTTTGACTCGTCAACTCGCGCGTAAAAGTATAACAGGCATGTGAGTCTTTTCAGCTCCGGAACTAACCAGGGGGTCTCTTCCTTTGCAGACTTAGGAGATAATTCGCTTGATGATGGAACTGATATTTCCTTCAATAGGTGCAAGTTTCTCTCGATTGTATCTCGCTTTTGCTGCCAGGAACTCGCCCTTTCAAGAATGTCGTCATGATACTGTAGTGCGCCGCCAGTACCACAGGATGCCTGGCCGGCGAGGTCTGAAATTTCGGACAATAGAGCTACCTGACGTCTTGAGCAGCCTGAAAGGCTTTCAAGCGTGGATTCCTCGCTATAGAGGAGATGACGGAGGCTGCTGGTGCTGTCTTGCATCCCCGGATTCGTTCCAGCAGTTGAAGCGAGGGCGTCATGATATGTGAAGTAAGCAGCTGCGAAGTCAAAAAGCTCCTTAGAGTCTGATGGTATGGTCTGGTTTGATGCCAGCTCATTCATCAAGAATGACTTGCCAAAATTGGCATGGACTTTCCAAGCATCAGAGCAGTCATGTAGGATCTGAAATCATTTAGTACTTGCACATGTATGAACATGTCTAGAAGTAGTGAAGCCAGATCAACTTACCTCGAAGAAACACATCATCATGGTGGAAGCCATAATTTCTTGGGCAAGCATACTCGCATTCGGCTTCCCCTCCGCTTCCGACATGGAATAGGCAAGCACGTGGCCGCGCAATAGTTCCAGAGCTCGGTTTCGATGATCCCAGATTCGGACAGTACTTTCACCATGCCCCAGCGCCTGCATTTGTTGGGCTGACACGGCCAAGATGGCCTGTAAGACCGGGCCGTGTGGCGATGATGCTGCAATTCGAAGGACGATCTGACGATATGGGTTTTTGACACAACTCACGACACATCGTGGAGCTATGAAGTTGTCGAAATAGTGCCATAAATGGGCCTCGTTATCCTGCAAACCAACTAAAGACAAATTGAAGCGTGGTAATGATGGCGAATACCTCGAGATTTTGTCCGCAGGTATCTTGCGTGCCCTTTGGGTTGACGTTTCATACACCGGCATGTCGATGATGATCCCGGCAGGTGTACCTTCAAAGTCATGTGCATGACTATTTAGGAACATCCACTCTTCAGTATCTCCATCAATATTTGATGATGATGAACGTCTTTTGGAAAAGCTTCGCTGCTGCAGCTCCCATCCAGAGGCGGCTTGCCAACTTAGTTTGAGTTCATATCGGCAGACTAGTCCTAGGCGCCGACAGTGATCGCATATTGGACGTTGTTCTACAGACTCGGTCAGAATTTCAACTCGATCGAAGCTCTCGGTAGAAAATTGGGACGAACCGGGACATTTCACATGGCGTCCTGTGATGCATGCAGTTTGAGCTGGCTGGTACTTCGTGATTACGACTAAGTTTACGGAGTACTTACCTCTACATGTGCGGCATCCACTTCTCGCCCGAAAGTCCCCACTTCTCCGCCGACGCGCCGGGCCATTGTGGTCGGACATGCTCAGTATATCTTCCCTCTACGGTACGACAGGAAGATGGGGTTTCTCCATATTGGTAGGTGAGTAGATGGTGGTTCCCTCTACGGAGCTATGGCAAATTAATGGTATGTTCAGCGTTGAACTGCAGATAAGACTTCGGAACCTCGAACAGAGACGATAACAACCAGGGGTAGAGGTTGTCAGCCTCAGCGGAGGAAGGCCGACACAGTCTCTCTACCCCGCAGATACATGCAACGTATGAGGGTGAAGATAGGCGACGATACGGACGGAGGGGGGGTCCCGGTTCGGCTTCGGTGAGAGAGGGTGCCGACAACGTGGCACTAGACTGGGGTCGCCGTTTCCACTTCCCCGCGGTGGACTTCTTATCTCGGACACCTTTGCCGTGGGTGGCCTGGCTCCGACCTGCGCGGCCCTCAATCCGACGTCGGAGCTGAGTGTGACTTGGCTCGCGGAACTCAAAATTGACGTCATTCCGCCTTAATCCTCTGACTTTGAATCTTCCTTTGCCATAAACCAAAAAGAAAAATAGTCAAGATGCCTGACCTGCAAGACTCAATATTGATCGTTGGTGGCGGCACTTTCGGGCTGTCGGCAGCTTACCATTTCACCCGAGCCGGATACAAATCCATCACGATTCTCGAAAAGGGAAAGTCAATCCCTTCATCCCTTTCGGCAGGCAACGACGTCAACAAAATTGTCCGTGCAGAATATGAAGACCCTTTCTACACCGAGCTGGCCTTGCAAGCCATGTCGGAATGGACCGATAACGAGCTATTCGCACCGCACTACCACCAGACGGGATACCTCCTAGCCAACTCATCAGCGGCGCCGGAAAAGACGAAAAAGACCCTGGCTAAATCTCTCGAGAGCATCCGCGTGCATCCAACCTGGGCTGGCAGGATTGACCCGATCAAGAGCAGGGAGGACATCACTAAAGCTGCGCCGGCGCTTGACGGACCCATGGAAGGGTGGGAAGGGTACTTCAACCAGTTCGCAGGTTATGCGCATTCGGCAAATGCTCTCAAGGCGATCTATGAATACGTCAAAGCTCAGGGTGTTGAAATTCACACTGGGGAGGAGGTTGCGAGTCTCACGTACGAAAGGGACAAGTGTATAGGCGCCCGCACGACTTCCGGGAAAGATTTTACGGCCGCAACCACGATCCTCACGGTCGGAGCTTCGCTCGGAAACGTGCTACCGTCTGTCGGTCGTCAAGTTACCGCAAAGGCATGGAGTGTCCTGCATATACAACTAGAGCCGGAGGAAGCAGCACAATTGAAGGGTATACCAGTCACATACGCCCGAGACCTGGGATTCTTCTTCGAGCCAGAACCTGGCACAGGGATCCTGAAGCTGTCTCCAAGTGGTGGAGGCTACACCAACTACTCGACGACGACAGGCCTGTCTACGCCGCCAGAGAAGAACGACTTCGTGCCCGAGGCTGATGTGCGTCGGATTCGGAGGCTGCTCCAGGAAACGCTTCCGTTCCTGGCTGATAGGCCTTTTGTAGACCAACATATCTGCTGGTGCGCTGATACAGCGGACTCTGATTATATTATTGATGCTGTGCCTGGAAAGAAGGGCCTGTATCTGGCGACGGGCGACTCGGGTCACGGCTTCAAAATGCTTCCGGTGGTTGGACAATGGATCAAGGACTTGGTAGAGAAGGGGGAGCAGGATATTGTGCGGTGGAAGTGGAAGGAAGGCAGCGATGCTGGTCAGAACGTCAGTTGGCGAGCGGGCGAGGTGGTGGATTTGAAAGACATCGATCACGGATCAGCGCAGTAACGAACGGCCTTCGATAAAAAGAAACAAAGTTCCGAATCCAAATTGTGACAAAAGTGCTCATTCAAGATGCCTAATGCATTACATAAGTGGGCATTCTTAATATTCGTCGCACTCATATCATCGTTTTGATGGTGGTCTCAGTGAGTGTTAGGCCCATCTGAAGATACAATGATGTTGACGTCAGCGCTACATAATCGAGATGACCGCCACATTCTCAGCGCGACGGTTTCGATTTCCACGTGGTTTACGCTCATAGAAGATTGTGTGAGAGTGTCTGGGCTGTCTTTGTCAGTGAGTTGAGCGCGTCATGACTATGGAATAGGCCCCAAACACAAGCTTTTGCTGGGTGCTATAAGTGAACGTGTTGTGCAGTTGAGGAAATCTTTTGAGCCCGTTATCCAGCCCTCGCCAATGTCACGATTTCCCATTAGAAAACACTATCTCACATCGACTTGTTCACAACCCTCAAGAATCTTTCGCCGCACATTCTTCACAAACGTCAAAATGTCTTCGGATTCCGGCCACATCAACTTCCCTGGCAAGACCTCCGCCACCCCAGGCGAAGAATTCGAGGTCCGCCAAACCTCAACCACCGAAGATTACCATCCCAACCCGTCCAAGTCAATCCCGCTTACACCCGCGCGTCAGCGACTGATCGACGATATCATCGCGCTATACTCGATGGAGCCCACGGTTGAGCGCGTGAAGCGATACACCGCTGACTGCGTGTACGATGACCAGTTCGTCTACGCCAACGATCGGTACAAGATGGCCGGGCAGTGGTTCGCCTTACCCAAGCTCTTCAATGCGAGCATCAATGAGGGTTATGAGATTGTCAAGAACGACCGCGATCTGATCCAATTCAGAAACGAGCAGAGCTGGACTTTCAAGCTCATTCCAAAGACTGCGACTATCAATGCGCTCGTCAGTCTTAGCTTGGACCCTGGCACCGTCGATAGTGATTTCATCCAGGTCAAGTACCACAAGGACCAGGCCAATGACAAGGACTACAGTCACGAGTAAGCTCTGCACTAATTCCGAGACTGAATAACGTGAGGCTAATCAGATATCACAGGGGCGTTGGGTTTTCGTTCAAGAAGTGGCAGGCGGACAACGTTATCAAGGTTATGGATAGTAAAGAGGTCGAAGCTTTCGCTGCGGATAAGGATGCCAGCAAGAACAAGGTGAAGAAGTATGGCACTGGCAAGACCGAAGGGGATGCACCTATTAAAGATCTCTGAGGTATTGGTCATGAGAGACTTATGTGGACACGGGCTGGTCTCGCTCACTGGTTTGAAAAGTCGGTCAAATAGAATAGCTCCTTCGTCGCATGAGTTCCGTAATGACCATGGGCGAAAAAACGAACTTTACAGAAGATCTCTGGGTGCGTCGCGATGAAAGAGTTGGAACGTGCCTTTCGGCGTTGCTTCACTAGATAAAGTATTTCTTCTGCCTCGTCAACCTTTCAATGTTATCACACAGCGTCAGATAAATACTCTTCGAGTCAATGTCAACACATTCGGGTGCGTTTTATCAACGATATGAACTGAATCCACATAAATCTGGAAATGAGTTGCATTCCCAGTGCTGCCTACGGAAAATTCGTGGGTGAGGAGTTCGCGACCTGCATGCGCAGCCGATGAATAAACAAATGGCTAAATTTGGACGAAATTGGAATGCGCAGCTTGTTATTAAGCTTCGCCGGACAGCGAAATCCTGCAGCCTGTTCTAATCATGTAAGCGCTACTGCGGGTGGTGGTTGGGCCGAGAACAAGGATTAGTTGCCCATTAGCGTGGGAGGATTTTCTCCCCATCAGAATCAAGTGTGCAGTCTCCAGGATGACTTCGACTTACACCTGAAAGACCGAAAGTAACGAGAGGATTCTGAAGATGTTGGCGACGCATTATAAGGTTCCTTGCTGCTATACGGCTCCAGTCATGTTCGTGTCGTGTGGTGTTCGACATGTTGCTAGGCGAGGTTACATAGTGCTCGGCGCACGCTGAAGACCTGTTAGTACTGCTGACGGAAGGGCTGCAGATTCAATGCAAAAGTTTACTGAGCGGGTTTCTATCAACTTGGGTTGGACATGGACTTAGAGAAACACCTCGAGTATCGTGACCACCAGACATGATCAATAAACATCGTCTTAACTGTGAGCCTAGAGGCAGACTGACTGACGGGCACCACGTGGAGTGGAAGGATGAGAAACAAACAGTTAAACATAGACCGACCGAATCCCACAGCCCTACTTGGCAGCTCCAACCAACAACTAAATGCTGACAGCACTCCTCCGGACGAACAGACTCCCGTCCCTCTCCACCATGTTTCGCTGTTTGTTTCCCAGAAGGGTCCCAGAGGACTGGCACGACTTCCGTGCACCGCCGACGTCAGCCCCGGGGCCGTCAGCACAAACATGCAGCAGCCTGCGATATTCCAGACTCGTGGCTAGGGTTCTAAGATTGCTGGTCAGCAGCATGACCCCGGATTAAGCAATGAGGCTACAGCTTACTGACATTTTGGCACCCATTTGGACAATGAGTACTATCTTGATGTAGCCTATGTCGGTATGATTCCAAACCCATCAGCAGAAGGATCCTGTGCCGCACATCGTGGGAATTACCAACCTAGACCAAAGATGGACACTGGTTGGCTTGAATGGGGCTACGCTCATCTGCGGCCACAATGAAGTACACAATATTGCAATATTTTGGCATCACGATGAAGTTATATAACATCCTCATCAATCGCCTCTTCAGTCCCCTCTTCTCTCATCATCACTCACATCACAACGTCATCAAGCAAACGAGTTCGCTTTTCGGTTCTCCATCTTTCCTATCTCTCTTTTCCTTGTCTCCTTTGTCAGCTTGGATACCCTCTCTGTCAGTCTCACAGCACAAATACATAAAGTAATCAAGATGTACACCTCCACCATCCTCTCTTCCATCCTCTTCTCCGCCGCCGCTCTGGCCGCGCCGACCACCAACCCGAACCACCCCTCCTCCTCCGCCACCATCTCCACCCAATCCGACACCAGCTCCATCGACAATGTCCTTCCCCCCATCGTCCCCGTCAACACCCGCGCCGGCAACGCAGACCTCATTACAAAGCTCATGACCGCACCCACCCAACAAGAGCGCGTCCGCCTGCTCAACCAGCCCGGCGACTTCGTCTTCGACTTCAACGACTCCGGCGCCCCCGAGGGCTCCGAGTCCCGCGGCAAGGGCGGCTTCTCCACCTCCGCCACGGCAAAGACCTTCCCGGCCCTCATCGGCAACGGCGCCGCCATGACCCTCGGCTTCCTCGGCCCCTGCGGCATGAACACGGCCCACGTCCACAACCGCGCCACCGAGCTCAACGTGATTGTCAAGGGCCGCCTCGTCACCAACTTTGTCGTCGAGAACGGCCTCGACCCCATCGCCAACACCATGGAGACGTACCAAATGTCCGTCTTCCCCCAGGGCGCGATCCACCAGGAGTTCAACCCCGACTGCGAGGATGCCGTCTTCGTCGCCGGCTTCAACAACGTTGACCCCGGCGTCGAGCAGGTTGCTCAGGCTTTCTTCAACCTCCGCCCCGATGTTGTCTCTGCTACTCTCGGCGGCGTGCAGAGCATTGACGGTGCCGACCTTGAGAGCTTCCGTAAGCACATCCCTGCCAACATTGCTCTCGGCATCGACGCCTGCTTGAACAAGTGCGGCATCAAGCGCAACGCGAAGCGCGACCTTAACGAGATCTTTGGCGCTCCTCAGAACTAGGTTGGCTAGTATTTGGGGCTTGCGATTGGAATGGCAATTGTAAATATGCATTGTTATATGGGGCATGACGGTCAGCATTTGGGCGAGGGCATTTAGAGGTGGGGCATAGCATCGGTTGCATAGCCAAGGACTTTGGCTCATTGGCGTTCAGGATTTGGATATCAAATATTCTATTTTACACATTGTCAATACACTCTTCTACTCATCTTCTTTTCTCAACTTCACCTCACTGAACAATGCGGCTCGATAAGAAGAGAGCCGCTGAGTCGTCGAGCCGCTTCATTCGGCTGAGATTGTGCAATGCAACCCACATGGCTAAGCAATAATCAGCGACAGATGATTTGGGGAATGACATCCACACAAGTCCCAATTGCTGTCGGAAAAGTAGATCCCTTCACCTTGGCCAACGGGCTCTGAGACATTGCGAATTGAGTTACATCAGCACGCCTCAGCGTCGTAGAGTCAGAGTTGCATCGCATCGGGCGAAATGCCAACCTTGCGTTGGATGGGCGAGGATCAACAGTGCAACTCAAGCTTCCTTCCTTTGCGGACTGCCCACGGCGCAGCAGACCGCCACGACAGGCCCTTGTTCGGGGATTTGGCAACCAGGGGAAAACAATGCGATGCCGCGCACATTTGCCGGTAGTTTCGCCGCTAGTGAGATGATCTCTCAGCCTAGAGTCTTAGGTGTGGAGGAGGTCAGGTGGCTTGTGTGTATAAACGAGAGACACTTTCTCAGCTTGTTGGAGTATAAAAAAAGCAAGTTGGCGGATGTGATTTGACTCAAAGGCAACCCAACGCAACCCAACTTTGCATCGTATTTTCCCCATCATCGTCAAGTTTCAATCATGACACAAGATTTTGACTTCATAGTTGTTGGCGGTAAGTTCAATTGTTGGTTCACGGGGTCGTATACGACAAATAGTGGTAGCAATTATCACTCGTCTGTTGGTGATCCTATTGCTTGTTCTTCTTGTTGTTTTTCTTGTTGTTCTATCTTACATTGTAGGCAGGAGTCGGTCGAAGTAGGTAGTGACGGCCTGGGTGATTGTCCCACCTTTATCCGGCCGTGATGACTAAGCCAGTTGTCCCCCTTCGCCCAGGGCAGGTGCCAGCCAGCCCATGGTACCTGCCTATTACTCCTTATCAGCCTTTGCTGTTCCAACATCAATGTTCCTGGCAAGGTTGTGTGAGGGGTACGCCTCTTCATCCTTGGATATCGCAACGAACCCCTCACGGGAGGAGAAACCGCACTAACAACAGACGACGATCAGGCGGCACAGCGGGGTGTCTCCTCGCCTCTCGCCTCGCAAACACTGTATCGAAGCCCAGTGTTGCGCTACTGGAAGGTGGCGGGGAGATCAGCAAACCCGAGTACAGGCACACAGCTGAACGATTCAGCACCATTGCCCAGCCAGGTCTCGATTATGGTTACGCTTCTACTCCACAGGAGAACGCGAGAAACCGTGAAGTGCCGCAGGCTCGCGGCAAGGGGGTGGGAGGCTCGAGTGCTACCAACTTCCAGGTCTGGTCGCTTGGAGCGCGCGCCGAATTCGATGCATGGGCTGCAGTTGCGGGTGACGATGCCTGGGGGTTTGATTCTGTGATTGAGCGGGTTAAAAAGGTGAATAAAACTCAGACTTCAAGAAACATGTCACTCTGGTTGGATCATTTACTAACATCGGCAAGCTGGAAAGTCTTCACCTTGATGATCTTTCCAAGGAGTGGGCTGAATATGTGAAGCCTAACCCAAAGTACCACGGATTGTCTGGGTAAGAAGGCACATATCGTTGTAGTGATCTAATTCTCTAACATGGAACAGACCGATCGACGTCTCTATCGATCACGTGGAACGAGAAACAAAGGCCTTTATCGATGCTAGAGTTGACCTTGGAGTGAGTTCTTGGACATATGATGACGAATGGGAGACATTAATCCTGACCCAATGACAGCACCAGCGCAATCTTGACCCCAACGATGGTGACCCAATTGGGTTCTCATTGAACTCGACAACGAGTCTGAACGGCGTTCGAGTTACTGGTGCATCTGCCTTCCTCGAGAAGAACGTACCGGCAAACTTGACCATCCTGACCGAGAGTCGTGTGGTCAAAATCATCTTTGAGAAGGATCGCGCAGTGGGTGTGCTCAAAGAGGACGGTTCTCAGGGTACGTTCTGGGTAAAACCTTGGTTGACATGGTGTATTGACTCTTGTGTTCACCTCAGTCCAAGCTAAGAATGAAGTCATCCTGTCGGCTGGTGCCCTTGACAGTCCCCGTGTACTGCTGCTTTCAGGCATCGGCCCTCAAGCGGACCTAGATGCTCTTGGAATTCCTGTGGTTAAGAGTCTTGACGGAGTGGGGAAGTCCTTTACGGATCACCCCATGATTGTGACTTGCTTCCAGATGAAGTCCGGCTTCACTGACAGAATGGGGCTCTCTGATCCAATTAAGTATCAGGAGGCCGTGAAGCAACTCGCAGAAAGGGGGAACGGCCCGCTTTTGGGGCACTTCTCTTCTGTTCCCCATGCTTTCCTTAAGAATGATCGGGCATACGAGTCCCCCGAATTCAAGAAGCTTCCAGCAGATGTGAAGGATTATCTGCTTGAGAACGGCGTTCCCAGCTATGAACTCGTGGTAGGTGTCTCTCTTGGTATCCGGCACTCGATTGAAGTCCACTCTCGTTTAACGTTAGGCTACAGATTGGACCCTTGATTCCCCCCGACCATATCTTCGAAAAGTCTAGCGACGGTTTCTTCTCGGTATTCGTCGCGAACATGAGCTCCGTCTCTCGAGGAACAATCAAACTAGCTTCCGCAAACCCAAATGACGCCCCTCTGATTGACCCAAAGTATCTCAGCAACCCATTCGACTTGGTGAACCTGCGTGAAGCACTGAGAGAAGGACTCAATCTCTTGAAGACCAACACGATGAAGGTCCATTTCGTCAGACCGATATTTGCACCAAAGTCTGACAGCGATAAGGATATTGATGTGGGTTTGAAGAGTATCTCGCTGTCAGAGCCCTCCCGGATAGGGGCTAGTTAGAGGTAGTAAGGAGTCCAAGCAACAAAGGAGCAGCTCAGATATATATACAGCGCAGGGAGTACACGTCGAGGGAGGAGCAGATTTCAGTAATTCATCATTCTACCCCTAACTGCAGTTGGCCTCTGAGAGCTTCCACCCTGCGTCAACACCCCAACTTGACACTCGCATCTCCTGGCCCTGTACTGACTGCGTATTCAGGACTTCATCCAAGAGAATGTCGTGGGATTGTGGCATCCATCTTGTAGCGTGAAGATGGGTAAAAGCGAACAAGATGGTAGCTGTGTCGATGGTGACCTCCGAGTTCATGGGTTGAATGGCTTACGAGTTGCCGATCTGAGTGTGACATCTATACTACCCAGGTATGTTCTCATCTTCCCTGAGTGAGTACTAGACATTGGCTAATGATATTTTGACAGTGGCCGTGAGTTCGCCCTTTTAGCATGCTCGCTATTGACATGAACGAACCCCTGCCACTCCATGCTGACTGATTCTTGCAGACCCCCAGATCGTCGCCTACGTTATCGGACAACTAGCCGCAGAGGAAATCGCGCGAGACTACGGGCTGGACACCAAGAGGCGAGAGAAGATCTAGTTGACCAAGGATGTACGAGTGTATTTAAAGAGAGCAATCTTAGTAGTAGACCAACCCCAGCAATAAGTCCCTTAGATGACATATCTAAAGCCTTTCCCAATCAATACCGCCTGACCAGCAGCCTCTGCTTCCTGCTCCCTGATCTCCAACTTCTTGTTCTCCCTCTTTAGAACAAAGTGCAACACAGTGGCAGCGACAATCGCCATCAATGCCATCGCGGCATTCACGCTGAAAGCCAAGACGAACCTCGGCGTCGCGTTGTTAGGGTATAAGTAAGATCCGTAGATGCCTGAGAGTGTAGAAAAGGCATTATTGAACGCGACCGCAGCGGCGCGCTTGGACGTGGGTCGATAGATCGTGTTGGCTGTCCAGACCATAGACATGTTGAAGCCAGTGTAGATCCCAGGAAGCATGATCATCGCGCCAAAGTACCGCGGCCCGATCCCCGTTGCGGCGCTGGAGATGATGAAACCGACGAGCGAGCAAGCCAGCGGGGCGACGGTATGCCAGTACCTCTCGTTCATGCGGTCGGCATTCCAAGACACTGCCGCGCAAACGATGCACGCCAGAAGATAGGGCGGCGAAGTAAGAAGCAGCGTCGTGATGCGATCCTTTCCGAGACTCGCGACAACGGTGGGGAAGAAGCTGTTGATAGAAATCGACGACGCAGCACCATAGACAAGCACAACGAGAATCCAATTGATCGGGTCGACCAAGAGCATTTTGAAGCCGTCGAATATGGGTTGCGAAGAGGAGCTCGTCCAGTCCTCTTCGCCCGCAGCATCGACTTCCATGCGCCACATCGCCAGCTGTCGTTCTTGGTCCGTTAGCCACTTGGTGTTGGCGGGGAAGTCTGGCAGCACGAAGAAGGCGCCGAGTGCAATGGCGACGGTGAGTGATCCCTCGATGATGAAGAGCCAACGCCAGGCTAGCAGGCCGCGGGCGCCGTCCATGCCGTTCGTGATGCCGGCGGCAATGAGACCAGAGAAGGCTCCTGAGAGCATGGAACCGCTGTAGAATAGCCCAGTGCGGACGCCGAGCTCTTTGCGGACGTACCATGAGCTGAGAGTTGCAAGGCAGCCTGATTTCGCAGCGTCATTAGCACTTTCTCTACACGTACTCTTGTTCGAATGCGTATTTTGGCTTACCTGGGTAAAAGGCTGCTTCAACAAACCCAAGGAAGAATCGAGTTGCCAACAAGCCTCCGAAACTGTGTGTGGCGCCGCTGCAGGCACATAATACACCCTGGTAGTTTGCATGATCATCAGCATGATGCTCTGGTGAAGGATGGTTACACAAACCGAGATCCGAATGAAGAAATTCCGGCATGCGTTGCTGTAGGTGATGCGTCACGTTACACCCACGTAATGCGACCATGGGTTCGCCAACCAACACGGCAGTGAGATCTAACCGGTCGATCCTACAAAGAACAAAAACAAAGCGACATCATGTCTAAAACTTACCCAAACGCACATGCATCCCGACAAATAGATCGCAGGACGTCCGATCTTGTTGAGGAACATGTTTGAAGGTACTTGCATCAGGATGTACCCGACAAAGAGGATCGAAACGCAGGTCTGGAGTTATTGCTGAATTAGCTTAAAGCCTTTGGAGTTTAGAGCTATCAGCTATTCGAGCTCTAGCTTACCTGGAATTCGTTGCCAGTCAGACCCAAGTCTTTCTCTAACCCGCCTAGTCTAGCGGAGCCAATGGCATTCCTATCCTGTCGTAAGTATGAGCTCTAGCAGTGGGTATTGACAACTGGCTGACCTATCGAGGTAATTCATGATATAGATCAGAATCATTGTGGGCAACATTCGTAAGTCAACCTTCCTAATCAACTTTTTCTCGAGACTCTTCAACTCCTCTTCTGACAGGTCTCTGAGAAGTTCCGGCAATTCTTTCGCGGGCCATATCGTCGTCTGTCCCTCGGAACTCGACTTGCTGTCTGAGGTCGAATCCATCGCTGCTTTCTGCGGGTCAGAAGGTTTCATTGCTTCTGGTTGGGTCGACATCTTCGCGGATGTCACTCGGCGGCAACTTTAGAGAAACGATGAAAACAGTTGAAGGCAGAGATCGCGTCCCCTCGAGCTCCCCTAATAGAGAACAAACTTAATTGGAACAGATATATACCTGCGTTCCTCGGTCGAAGCAAGCCGTCAACGCCTGAAGGAAGAGGTCTGCAATGGCACCTAGTTGACCTATTGATGAAGGTAGGCGAATAATCCGATTGCTGGCAGGTCCAGCCCGGAATCTCTCCTCCAATCGTCGATAACAGGTTATCGGTATCTCGTCGAGATAAGTGCTCGTGTACACAAGGACGAGGGTACTTCGAGAAAAACAGGCTAAATGCGACCGTCTCCGCTTAATGTCAAGCTGTAAGTCGTCTTGACAGTATCCACTTTGTAACGGCTGTTAATGCAAGGATGCCGTAGCTTCGAAGCCAAGGATCGTGGACGAAAGTTTGAGAGTCGCAGATTGTGGGGGAAAGGAGAAAGAAGCAATTGTGTCAAGAAATCTGTCACTTTATCATTCGGCCGCTAGAGCTGAGAAGCCGAACACGTATTGTGATTTGGTTGTCGCACAAGACTCCAAGAGCGACGGAGTGCCAATCGTCCCCTCTTTATCCTCCCCTTTGTGTACCCCCGTTATTGTTCCCCATTGATTCTCTTCTTGGGTCGGCGATGGACTCGGCGCCACGAACCCGATGGGCGCACAAGCTCAAAACGTTCTCGTCATCTCGTCGCGGAGGCGGATCTCGAGGCCGACGACTCCCGGCATTATCGCCCGTTGGATCTCTACTTCAATCGAGGGGTGGCGCACTTGGAACAAGTTGACAGGCATCGGTTGACAAGGGATCTGGGTTGTTGCGCGGTCACTCTGGCAACTTGATTGGGGATATTTCGTCGGCCCCGTCCCACCGATATGGGCCCCGGGGAAGCACGGATGTTCCGCCCATTGCTGCGCCGCATGGGTGCGGCCGTAGGAAAGCTCCTCGGCTTCTTGGTCGGTGGTCTTTGCATCACCCGCCGAACTTCATTCTCCAGCTTAGTTATAAGAGTCCAACAGGTAGTTTCAGCGTTGAAAAAGCAGGGAATTTGAGGTTAAATCAGGTAGCAAAGACCACAATCATCACAGTTTCAACATCGACCATTTCGTAACCTCTCAAAGTATTCCTATTCTCAATATGGCCAAGCCATTAATTCTCATCGTAGGCGGAGGCGTCTTCGGTACGTCGACAGCCTACCATCTCTCACAAAGAGGCTACGACAACGTCACCGTGCTTGATCGCTTCGACGCACCCTCCAAAGACTCTGCGGCAACCGACCTGAACAAGGTCGTACGCGCCGACTACCCCAACCCGCTGTACGCGAAGCTAGGCATGGAGAGCATGCGGGAGTGGAAGGACCCTCAATCCATATTCGCAGGGATGTATCGCGAGAGTGGCTGGGTCATGGCGGGCCACGGCTTGACGCGGGGATGGCTTAATAGCGCCATGGAGACGGCCAAGAAGGCGGGCCGCGAGGGGGTGCGGTTCATGACGGCCGGGGAGATGAAAAAGAGGTGGCCCGCTCTGACAGGGGAGTTTCCGGACTGGACCAACTTGTGGAGTCCTGCGGCCGGTTGGGTGAGTTCCTATTTTGCAAAACGATATCACATCCACGAGGACAGCGCAGCAAACTGACGATGATCGGGAAATAGGTGCCGTCTGGACAAGCTCTGTTGAGGATGGCCAACGCTGCCAAGTCACAGGGGGTCAAGTACATCTGTGGAGAGTCCGGTTATGCCAAGAAGCTGGTGTTAGACGGCAACGGGAAGTGCGAGGGCGTCCTGGCCGCAGACGGGACACTGCACGTGGCGGACATCGTTGTGTTGTCTACTGGTGCCAATACCGCGACCCTGGTTGACGCAAAAAAGGAGGTTGTGGCACAAACATCAGTCATCTGTGTGATGAAGCTGGAACCACATGAGATTGAAAAGTACAAGGATATGCCAATCATCGATGACTTTGAGCAAGGTAAGTAAATGCCAGAAGCATGGCAGGGAATATCAAAACTGATCGAGGAACCTAGGCATCATATTCCCTCCTGACGAGAACGGGTTGATCAAGCTCTGTAGTTGCAGATGTCTCACAAACTATCGCAACAGATATGTTCCGGGGGCTTCCATCTTGCACTCTCTAGGCGATTATCCCGATGACGGATGTCCTAAAGAAGTTGAAGATGAGATGCGTACGTTTGTTAGAGAGATGATTCCGGAACTCGCTGATCGGCCATTCATCTCTTCCAAAATGTGCTGGTACGTTATTAGACATCATTCTATTGATGTTGCTGCCGTACTCCGCCGGTCGCTTCTGGAAACTCAATGCTAACTCAGATCCAAGGGACGGCCTTGCCGGTGATCTGAATTTCAGAATTTGCCCTTATCCCGAGACTCAGAACTTGTTTGTGGCAACGATTGGCTCAAATCACGGATTCAAGTTCCTCCCAATCATTGGAAAGTACGTCGCCGACATGCTCGAGGGAAAGTTGGGAAAGGACTGGCAGGATCTGTGGGATTGGAAGTTTGGAAAGGTTCCTGATGATTTCCAAGACCCTCATCCGTGGCCGCTCCGCGATATCTCGGACTTATCAGGTTGGAAAGGCCGGAATGCGGCTGGCGATGGCAAACTCCCTTGGACATGGAGTCGACTCTAGACGCACGTCTAATTATCCTACCAAAATTTTCTGACACTTTCCTGTGCCTTCTCGGAAACAAAGTCATCTGAACGTGTTGCAGCGCCGATTATTCCCATTTGCAATGCAGGATTCGTTCTCAAATATCGAATGTCAACATCCAATAGAGCCTGGTCCTTGCGGCCAACGCCAACAGCGATTCGCAAGTTGACAAATCCTAGTGCAACGCCATTACACATGACAACTAGCAGGGGCCGATGCATGCCGCCCCGCCGCTATCATTGTGTACGACCCAGCAAACATGCTTCCAACTACTTAAACGGGTTAGAGGATGTTCGTTATCAGTAAGAACCTCCGCACCGCCGATACCAGTCCGCGTGGTCAACGTGGGGCCCTCCTCTTTACCCCGTATTGCCTGTCGTCTTGGACCTTCCCACCTCCGGTACCGCCGGCAAACGACATTAAGCAAAGGGGCATTTTGATCTGAGAGGTCGTTTGGAACGAGTCCGTGTCTTTATGGAGCATCACCCACTACTCCATTGTCGTTGAAAGTTGTTGGACCACTAGACAATTGAGACATCGTGACATCCAATTGTGATGATGACTAGAACGCCAAGAGGTCGAAGCGCAGTAGCTTGCAAAGCCTGCCATACACAAAAGCTCAAGTGCAATGGTGGTATGTATTTGCATCGCAACTATGTCAATGCTGTTGACTGACACGCCCGTAAGGAGCACCATGCGAACGATGTCAAGCCCGTGGACGGCCCTGCGTCTACCCTGTGAGAGAGAAATACATTACGGTGCCTCAAAGCTATCTGAGAAGACTCGAGAGACAGCCAGCCGTAGCGCAGCGGTCGGGAGAAACAATCTCATCGCCAGAGTCGGTGCGTACGGAATCAAATGATTTTCCGACGCCACTCTCGCCCAAATCTAGTCAGATTATCAAAGAAGAAGAACTGGAAGATTGCAGCGCAGAATTCTTCGTGAAAAGGCTACGACAACTCTCGCGGACAGCAGCATCCGGTGATCCAAACAACAAACAGGCCAAAGAGTCTTCAAGTGCAAGTGCTGATAGTTACACATATTCCCGGCTGAAGTTCGATTTCCTACGTAAGTCAGTTAATGATAGCCAGTTAGACGTTAACTGATGTGATACACAGAGTCTGAAGTCTCCTTCCGACTTCCGCCGCGACCATATGCATTCCACCTACTCCAAGCTTTTGATGAAGGCTTCAGCGAATATCATTGGTTTCTCCGCAAGAGGTTCCGGGAAAGGATACTCTTGACATACTCGGACCCGCAGTCGCAATCCCATGATCGCAACTGGCTGTGCAGGGTCTCGGTCGTCCTCGCTCTCGCAGAGAGCTGGAACCGATCGCGAATGTCATCAGCTGTGCACATGGACCTTGCAGGGAAGCATCCGGCTAGTCCACCTCAAAAAGAAGCGGCTGTCCCTTTGACTTTGCCTCCACATTCGCAGTCAACGTCGCAAACACTGCCGCCACCTCCCGGGTCCGACCTCTTCGAACAAGGGCTGATGCTACTGAAAATGTCCGCGGAAGAGCCAGTGCCTGAAGATGTTGAAGCACTTTGCTTAATCGTGAGTAGTAGCAAGGGACTAACAATATCATTAGCTAACCAAATATCAAGGCCTTCTACTGTTACTCACTCAACCGACGTAAAACGGCTTACTCGTACGCCAGTCAGAGCGTAGCACTCGCCAAGCTCTTGCATCTCCACAAGCCACATCCTCTGCCCAAGGCACCAGACCAGCAGCGCCAAGTACGCGTGATGAACGAGCATAGAAAACGGCTTTGGTGGACATCCTACTGCATGGATAGGATGATATCAACTGAGCTTGGCGTCGCTGCCGCCGTGTCCTGTGTGCCGGAAGGCATACAACTCCCGTCATCTGCCGGACTAGATGCCGAAGACCTCGAAGAATTTTCTGATCCGGGACTTTTGACGATGCAGACTCAGCTCTGTGAGATCAAACGCAATGTTGTCAGAACTGCAGCTCAGCATGTCGACGTCGATGACGAGCGTCGGCTGGAAGTAATCAAACCATGTCTTGATACCCTGCAGCAGTGGAGATCAAGTCTGCCGCAACAGGTCGCTTTCGCTTTTGAGGAGAGCCTGCCTACGAGATTGATGGAAGCACCTCATGGCAGGATTCTGGCATCCACCTACATGCGATATCATCAGGTGAGCTCTTGTTCTAACTCGTGTTCTTGATCGATCCTCAACATGACCTGACAATGACACAGTGCTTCATCCTCTTGTTGAGGCCGCTCTATCTTCAAAAATTATCCTTGATCGTTCAAAAGCGGCGGTTGAACAACCCTCTGAGTCTCACCAACCCCGGCACACCATTAGATGTGGACGATCCGATAAGAGCAGTCAAGATACAGTGTCTTCAAGCCGCCAGGAACAATTGCAAGATATTATTGGGACTCTGGAATTATGATAAGATTGGTAAGACCTAGCATCTGTGAGATACCCTTCAGTGAGATGCAAAGAGCTGACAGCTGTGTGCGCAGCAAAATTCGGATACTGGGAATCCCTGCACCTGTTTTCTGGCCTCGCAATTCTGGCCCTCGCCCGAGTCTCGATCAAGGAAGGGAAAGACTTCAACCCAAACAGCGAAGACGACGTGGCACTCTACACGCGGACCAGAGCACTGCTTAAAGAAATGGCTCGCGTCGGTAATCCTGCGGCCAAAGACCACGATCTCCTGCTCTCTGACGTCGAGGCAATGGTGAAGAGAATTTCACGAGAGGAAAGAACAACACCACTGCAATCTAGTGTCGAGGAGACTGAAGGCAATGTGGGAATGGAGACTGATCTGGGTTTCTCTGATTTCATGTTTTCGGATGGAAGTGCTGACCAACAGATTTGGAGTGATAAGGACTGGGAAAGTATCTTGAGTACGTATACACAAGACATATGAATAAATGGAGAACTTGATACTTCAGACTCCTCGGTGCGAACATCAAGTGCAATGTTTAGGCCACTTTCTGTAGACCATGCCCTACTAGTACTTTGTAGTAAATCTCAGGGAGAAACAACCCTTCTGTAAAATGAACGCTCGATGCTTTTGGTGGGATGTGGAAACTGCACGTCCATCAACTCATTCTGAGCTCTTCGTGGGATACAATCTTTGCTCCAGTCTTGATCGGGTCGATCGATTCATCGTATTTATCAACGCCGTCGATCGGAGCATACTTCTCGCAGAGGTAAAGAATGCTATTGTAAGCCCTGCACCTTATCAGTGAGAGTTTCAGGACCCCATAAATGATTGACACCGGCGATAGCACTTACGAAGTTCTGAGTCGGCTACCACGATGGCCAGCGGAGTAGTTGATGCCACCTTTCAGGCTGTAGAGCTGAATTCGATCGTCGAACCCGTCGACCGGCTCTGCTTTCGGAAAGCATGCAAGGTACCGGTCCATGTACGCCTGCTTCCCAAATATTGGCGAAAACTCAGAGGCCCAATGCCCTAGCTCCATCTCGTTGTGAGCAAAGTACGATCCGGCATCGAAGAGCATCGGTAAGTTCGTCCGCTTGCTGATGCCTGTGTTTCCTTCCCATAGGTCGCCATGAATTAGACTAGGCTTGATCGGTTGTCCCTTCCATGTTAATCCTTCCAGCAGTTGCGGGATCACCTTCGAAGCTACTTGGTGTGCTGCACGCTCATACTTGTCCCAACTGCCATTTTTCTTGATATCCAAGCTAAGTGTGTGAAGGAGCAACATCCGATAGAACTCCGCCCAACTTTGTTCCCACTCAACGTTGTGCGGACGGTTACCATCGCAAGTCGTGACGCGGAAACCGAATCTGTCTGAGAGGTTCTGACTCGTCTCGTGCATTTCGGCCAGGCGTTTGCAGAAGTTCGCGGGATCTTGTGCTCTTGTCACATCGAAATCAACAAATTCCGACATGCAGAAGTACGTGGGCAGTTCTGCTTTCTTATACTTTCCATACCCAAAAGGCTCCGGGATAAAGTCTGGCATCAGTTTATAGATGGTTTTGGATGATTCGAACTCGCCGAGAAGCATGACTCTGCCGGTTTCCCCGTACGCGGCCTTGATGAAAAAGACCTTCTCAGAGTTCGACGAACGGGCAACAAGCTTGCCCGTAATTGCCCACGCACTGTAACCAAAGCTCTCAGCTGAGTCGATCGAGAATCCCTCCGGGAGAGCTGGAATCGACACAATCTCAGAATGAGCAAGCGAGATCCAAGATACGAGACGTGAGTCAGAAACGGAACGTACCCTCCTCAATGGCTTCTTCCGTAGGAAATTTGCGATCCTGGCGAGCTCGCAGCTTCTGGTTCCTTAGATGGAGCTCGGAGTCGACATTGTGATGTTCAAGAGGGACAAGAAATGTATTGTCATTGACTTCGAAACCGGTCGCATTGCCGTCATCCTTTCCGATGAGAATTATCTTGCTGTGCTTTTGGGATTCGCCGGGAAACGCTGTGGGTGTCTCCATGGTGCGTCAGGTTCGGAGCCTGGCCGTAGACGGCAGACTAGACAGTTTCAAGTAAGGTACTGCACTGTTCAGCGACCAGAAAATCAAATCGAGGAGCCTACTCGGTTTATTTCAAGAAAGCACCAACAAAGAAATGAGACAAGTTATGTTCAGTTCAAAAAGCTGTTGCGAGTCAACCGCCGCAAAGCCGTGTCACCAAGCGCCTAATCCTTGCCCCTGAACAAAGAAGATGGCATATGCCCAGGCTGCCGGGGTAGCTTTCACGAAATGCACTGGTATATGGCGTCTATTTCAGAATATGTACGTACGTTGGAGCGCCTGCACTCCCAGGTAGTGGCCACCCATTCATGCCAAAGGCGTCCACTTTTAGGAGTCAGTTTCGCCAATCCTTGCCAAGGCTTTGAGTGACAAAGAGTCTGGATTACACAACAGCTTGCAATATTGTAATTAGGATAGAATAGCATGTATAGTGTCTTACAGAAGCAATACTGCTCCCAGAGTTGGTAAGTTAAGCTTCCAAGTCTGCCGGTGATATCATGATTGAGAGCCGCGCCCGGTGTCTTTATGGATTCAGAAAGCACCAAGTCAATTCAAAACTCTGTGGAAGATCCTCTCTCACAACATGTTTTCAATCACTTGTCCGCATTTTACAACATAATTTCTTAGCTCAACAGGTCATTAAAGCTACCACAGGAAGCGGTACTATCGGAATGCAAAGAAGTGCTCTTCTCAAAGGCATTACCAACGTGGAAACCAGTGTTCAATATCCATTGTGAACGGAGACTAGGCTCGGGGTTTTGGACAACTACACGATGGAATTCTAGTACCTGTTGATAGCCAGTATCGAATTCCGGAACCGACAATCCGATGTTCCTAAGGTAGCGCGAGGCGAACATGAAGAACATCTGGCACCAAGTAGGTCCAGAGCAGCGGGGAGAAGGCAGAAAGAGACTATCGTCGAAGCAAAGTTGTAGCAATTGGGGTTGGGAACACATCGAAACCTAACACAATCTGACAATGTCTCACATAATCCTGTGTTCCTAGCAAGTGGCATCGTTAAGGAGAGGTTGAAATAACTCATGACTTGCACGACCAGTGACACCGCATCTGTCGCTTATGGTTGGTGACGCTGGTATTCGCCTCGCCCGAGTTGTGTGATCAAATTGAGACAGTGTTCATTGAGTCTGCACGTCATGGTGATTGTTCTAACTTTCTTCCCGTCACCGTAAGGCAATTTGAGGCGGCTTGACGAGCTCCACCATCCGTGAGCAGATCCCTGCAGTGAAACGCATTCTTGGAGGCTCTGCACTTACATTAAGCAAATCTGACACTTCATGAACCCATTGTATCTGCGGCACGTTGCAGCAACAGGTGGCACCGTCAGGCCAGACTATGATGCACAAGCAGCTGTGACGGAGAAGAGTCTGTCAGACGTGTCTCGACAACACAGTAAGAAGCCGCCGAAGGCACCTTGTAACGCCCAACACTGCCGTTCGCCTTCGTTGTTGAATATTTGTAGCTATTAAGAGTGTGTGGTCATACGAAAGACAAATCTTCACTTGATTTGAGTACATGGACTGTCCAAGATCAAAATCTAAAAGCCGAATCAACTTGCTATCTCCCAATTCATCATTTCAATCACACTTCATGTGACTTGACCATCCTTCAATACTCTCGACTCTTCAGTTTCTGAACCTGCCACAAACCCTTGCTCAACACCACCATGGACAGAATGGATCGTCTCAGCACTGCAGAGCAACTTCTTCGAGATCTCGAAAATTCCAGTCGACGCCCTCTACGTCGAAGATCGACAGGAGAAATCCGACATGATATGAATCTCATGCAGACACCGGTATCCCAGCTCTTGTCTATGTCTGATACGGAGACAGAGGAGAACTGTCCTGATGCCGACACATCTCCTGTCCAGGGCGAGGCTTGGATGGCAGAATTGGACTATTTTTCTGGCAATCATCACTTGGTATTCTTGGGCCCACGATGGCATATTCGAGGCTCGGATCAAGGGGGTTGAAGTTATATGTCGCTTCGCTCTCACTGCCAGTACGTCCCCCCCACCCTATTCGAAGAGGTGTGGTGTTGCGAGGTTAAGCGGCCATCGCTCTGACAAACAAAATAGTTTTCACTCTTGCCGCTGCTTTTTGGACTCGGGTTGAGCTCCAAGCATGTCGATACACGCCCTGGTACGCCCTATATCAGAGTAAACTGCCCAACAAAGTGGAATGCGACCTGGACTACACGTCAATGATTTTCCCCAGCCTCCTGTTCCGCTCGCTGAAGCGAAAGCACTACTTCCTGTTTTTGGTTGCAATAATATCATTGTTGTTCAAGATTCAGATTGTTTTATCCCCTGGTCTGTTTCGGGCGGCCGATGTCGAAGTTGGCAAAAAACAGCACTCTCCTGCTCATGGATGCTTTCACCTTGCCCCAAAACTACACTGTCGACTTTGAAGTAACGCACACTGCGTGGTATGTTGCTCTTAACATTCGCAATTTCAACGTTTCTTATCCTTTTGGAGCAACAAAAGAGGCTGCCTACCAACGTTTCGCGGAGAGAGGCTGCGAAAATGCCACCCTGACAGCAACCGTCGAGGCTCTCTTCATGGACTTTCAGTGCCTTAAGCTGGAAAGCTTCAAGACAGTGGATCGTAAAAACGAGGACACAACGAGACTGGAGTTTGTCCTCGATCTGAAGTTTGAGGGATTTCGCACCGTACCCTTCCACGTCTTCAACGTGGGAGCGATGACCTCGAAGGACCTAGCGTATTGGATTTACAACGACACCCTGAGCGCAGGACAACGCTGCTCCAACATACCTCAAGGCCGACAATTTATTTATTTGATCACGAGTTTCAATCGCTTGCTACCATCTACTGACAGTACCCATACTATTTTCCCCGAGAAGGTGTCCGCGATAATTTGCGGGTCCGATGTTCGACTTTCTCGAGCAAAGGTTAACGACAATGGGACAAACCCCACCTTGAAGGAGATGATGAACATCTCTCAGCAACAACTTGACGTGGATATCTGGGCAATGATTGTCAAGCCCTTTCCTCAAGGGGAATACGACTTGAATTGGCGTCCGGAGACGAACTTCGCCGGCATGGAGGACTGGACCAATCCAGTTTAATATTGGCAACATTTCAATAGCGGAACGAGGTCGGTAGTTGGCAGGCTGGGTCCCTTGAACACAACTGAGGTACTCTATGAATCTGTAACCGGACTTGCCAGTCATCTTGGGATTCTATTCGGACACTACCGCATGCGACAAGAACACGATACGATGACTGATTTCGAAATCAAGCACAAAACTAAAAGAATTATCATCCACTTCCCAACAGCTATCCATGGTTGGCACCTTTGGCCTCATGATATTGATTACGGGTCTTATCATTGTGCGCCATCAAAGAGATGCGAAACCCTTACACATGAATCCCACCACACCTTTAGGAAGTCTAATCTTCTTACATGACCATCCAATTGTCGCTAATCGAATTCTCGACCTCCAAGAAGAAGACCGACTTGAATCTTGGCCTAGAGATGTCTCTGTACCATACGTCATGAGGTCATGGATACGAGTCATCTTCACAGTTACAGTCGTAGGCGTCTCAGTGGGAATCATAGCAGTCTTTGTCACATCTCAGACTCAAGCTGGAATAGGCACACCGGGCGGCTACTGGTACCTGCTCTGGACTTCTCTCCCAGTCCTGACGATGCTCGGCATTTCTTTATATATCAGCTCATCCGACACAGCGTCAAGAAATCTTTGGACCTTGCATTTCCTTTCGATAAAGTCATCGTCGGTCCAACAGCTTCACTTCTCGATATTGGACATGTCTGGGCCTCGTGCTATGATCACCGCTTTGCAGATGAGAACCTGGTCGATATTAACGTCACAAACCTTAACTTTACTCTGTGCATTCCTAACAGCTATCGGGTCCATTCTATTTACAGTGGACTGGAACCTTGTGCCAAAAGACCTGCAGCTGCGACAGAATAGTTGGTTTGCTGACAAGACCATGGCACAGGGAGTCCCGAAGTATGATAGGAACGTATGTAATCTTCTTATTGGGAAGGGAGAAGGGGATTTTCCATATCCCAAAGGCACTTACGACAACTTCATCTTTCCCGATATGACACTACCAACGATTCCCAGCAAAAACGTCAGCTTTGAGGTTGAAGTGACGGCAGCAAGTCTGGAACCGCTTTGCACCAGAGTCGCAGACGAGACTGGCAACTTCCGGATCAAAGAAGTGGAGCACTCTAATGAAAGGGGCTCCTGGATTATCTATTCTGCAGACATACATTTCGACATCATTATGCTGAACGGAGCTGTAATCAAGATTAACGAAAGCGTATTCGTTGGAGACAATGAGACCACAGCGACAGAAAGAATTTTCGCTTTGGGGGACAGGATCTCAACAACCACACGACTTTATCTTTGGGGCAGTTGGAAGCTGAATTTTGAGGACATATCTTTTCTCCGAACCTGGCACTGCGGTTATTCTTGGAAGAAAACAGTCATGAATGTCGACATGACTGTGGTGGACAACGAGTTAGTGATCGACCAGAGTCGCCCTCCTCGTCCAGTCGAGGGGACTACAGAGCCATGGAACCCGCAATTCAGCTTTACCAATTACGGTTCACAACAAGATTTCCGGCCTGACTCAAGCGAGGACAGAAATCGGACTTTCGATATGGACAAGGAGATGATACTTGCGTTGAAGCCGTATGGTCCTCTAGAGCTTGAAGCTCTGGGCAATTCGTCACGAGAAGATGATGTCAAGGCGGTTGTCAATCAGAACTGGGCCTTTTTACATACCCAAGTTGCGAACAAAAAGAATCGTCTAAGCCTCAACGAGTCGGCTATCTCAGTCAACCTTCCTCCGGGAGGTCTACCACCCGTCAAAGCGAAACTCACCGACCACAGTAGAAGGCGACTTTTCCAGAATCCAGTCGCAACCTACTTGATATTGGTGATTCTGGGCTTGGTTATCGCAGTCCATATTCTGATGTTGGTGCCCAAGGCTGTCAAAAATCGACTGGGCTGGGAAGCAGAGCTGCTCAGTATGGACGTGGAAGGACTGGCCCCGGACGGATTCAATAGCATTTCGCGAATGGTCACTCTTCTGCACTCTTCGAACGCCATACAATACATGCCGTCCCAATCTCTCTCGCAAGATGAGCTATTCGAACAACTTGAGCATCTGCGGTTTCGACTTGGTTGGTTTGAGAAGCAAGTCGACAAAACACGGCATTTTACAATTGGCGTGGAGGGCGATGCGGGCTTTGTTTTCTTGGGTGCGCCAAGAGAGATAGAAGTCGAACCAAAGCCAGCGTCACCTCGGCGTTATTTCGGATGGTTGAGCTGTGGTGAGAGAGCATCCTGATTACGCCGTCTTCTCCTCCTACTATCGGGCAAATGAGGGTTGAGGTTTTCTATCTATCAGTGCAACTCGGACTGCTGGGTTAAGCAAGTCTAAGGAAACACGTATAGCGGCTTCATAAATGTCTCAAACTTCCAGACGGTTCCATCTATTCAAGTAGCGGCTCTTGTTGGTAAACGAGGGCCTGGAGACATAGTAGTATTTCTGGTTGCTGGTCCCAGCTCCCTAGTCGTGGCTTTCTAGTAGTGGCTACTATGGCGTTCGGCGAGGCAAATTGTTCCGGAGAGGCAGACACAACAACGTGTCACGCTCCCCTGTATCTTTGTGGCACGACAAGAGACTTTCTTTCTCCTACGCACGATTCACGATACCTTCTCTCTGCCCGTTCTGTGCAAGTGTATTTATCCGTTTTGGTAATTGTTCGCCGTGATGTCGTCCTTGAAGCTGAATAGTCGAGTTCGTATCCGTTTCTAAGTAGTCATTCGTGATAATTTGGGGGCCGAAGTCAATACGTGTATGCTGCAACGTTGAAGAGATGAGAGGGAGGACCTAGTCTTATACCAAGCCTTCCAGTTGTGGCACTCGAAGCTTGCTCCAACGACCCCTGAATGGGGCGAGACCGAGACCGAGAGCGAAGCTTGCAGTGCTTGTGGATACCGCTAAGTAAGGCCAGAACCTTAAAATACAAAATACAGCCAATATCTAATCGTTTCCCTTCGAGAAACGGCAATTGTCACTGAAGATGACTCGCTAGTGCGGTTTGGTCATCCCTAATACGTGTATGACCTGGGGCTGTGATATACGTATCGGTGCAAGATCTCCACCATGGAGACAACCATTCATGGTTAAACGGTTTGAAAAATTGGATCGGATCTTCGGGGAACCTCAAACGGAACCACAGGGCTGAAGGCTTGACGTGCTGCCAATGCCGGGTAGGCGGCCCCCCTCCCCCCTTTGGGCCCCTTCTTCTCCGGTGATTCCAGACCATGTTAACCACTCTTTGTTCCCCTCCCCTCCCTTTCGCATTCTTACACCAACATCTATCCCACCCCTCGGACTCGCAAGAGAGAGAGAAGGCGTCCAAAGCGATCCAAACACACCTTCACAAGGCGTCCTACGCCATCATTGCTTTGCCGCCCACACAATGGCGAAGCTCCCGAGTAGCCAGGTTCGTCGAGTCGACTCTGACAGCTCATCAATAAGTTGGTAAGTCAAATACGCCGTATCCAATATGTGACCTCTCGCCTGTTGCCCTTCACCGAAAAAGAAGTGGGAAGCGAACATGACAGGGCGGCCAAAACAAAAACGAAATCTCGATAACCCCCATCCCACATCATGCAGCAAACTAACGAAAATCCTTCCTGTCCAGGGGCCTAGACTACCTCCAAGAAGAGAAAATCGCGCCTCTCACCTGGATCGAGTCGCCCGTCTCCTCGGCTGATGAAGATACGGGCGAGATCCGCCTCTTTGTCCGGCACAATGCAAACACCATTGAACTCTTCTCCGACCTCTTTTTTGTCGCCAACCTCGAGACATTTACGCAGACGCACAGCATCACCGACTTGTCCAGCTTAGCCGCCTATCTCGGCTTCTTCGCTATTATCTGGTTCACCTGGTTCCAGATCACGTTGCACGATGTCCGCTTCTCCATCGACTCGGGGTACGAGCGAATGTGCAAGATTCTGCAGTTTTGCCTATTTGTCGGCTTCGCTCTTGTGGGGTCTTCTTTCAGTCCCGGTACGAAAGAACACAACAATGCGGTATGTCAACCTTCTCCTGTCAATGTATCCCGATCATCTTGACATGAACGGAAGCCTCGGAAATCTTGATGCTGATAGTGATACCATGTAGAACTTCCAACTCTTGTGCAACATCCTCTTCGCTACCCGCCTGCTCCTCGTAGCACAGTACTCCGTGGCCCTCCACTTTGTCCGCAAGAAGACAAAGGCCTTGAACTGGCCGCTTTCTTTGACCATTGTCCTCTTCATCTTCTCTGGTGGATCCTTCTACTCCATGACGCCGGCCTTCTCGCCCGAGTCCGGCAACGGCCTGGGCATCTACTACGTCTGTAACATCATCCTCGTGATCGAGGTAGCCATCACTCTGGGCCTGTCGTCCATCTGGAAGAACCTCAGCTTCAAGCACACTCACTTGACGGAGAGGATGGGCCTCTTCACCCTAGTCATCATCGGCGAGGGTGCCATTGGCGCCACCAAGGTCGTCGGCGTCATGATGGGCGACACCGGTCTCCGGCTCGACGCCTGCCTCATCGTCGGCTGCATCGTCTTCATCCTGGCATGTTACTCGTTCATACCACACTCTCCTCGGAAAGTCTAACTCAACCACCCTAGATGTTCAACTGGATGCTCTACTTCGACAACCCTCCCGAATGCAAATTCGGCACCGTCCGCCAACAAATCTGGGCCGTCCTCCACTTCCCCTTCCACCTCGGCATGATCGGCGTCGTCGAAGGCTCCCAACAAATCGCCCTCGCCTGGCAGGTCCTCAGCTACTTCAGCGACTTCTTCTCCTCTGTCCGCAACGCCTGCGCAACGGAGCACCAAGACGGCCAGGCCCTCACAACCTCCATCACCACGGCCTTTGAGAAGCTCAAGATGCCAAACAGCGCCGAGATCCGCAACCTCATCCCCTTTGTCTACCAAGAAATCTACCGAATCGGCAACACGACGGATATCTGCGCGCCGGCCAATATCACGGGCACCGACTCCCTCTTTGTGCCTCCCGGTTTCGAACGTCTCACCAAGAGCGTCCTCGGCGTCTTGTTCGAGTCTTACAACGGCGTCACCGAGGACGGCGACGAGGATCCGGGTGAAATTGCGCACCCGGCTTACTCGACCGTCTACATCTACTACTGGTCCTCTTTCCTTTTTGTTGTCGCCTTCTTCGCCGTCTTCATCCTCATTACCCGACACAAGGACCGTCCGATGAACATTTTTGACAAGGCCGCTGTTGCAACCCGCGGTTGTGCCGCTCTATTCGCCTTCGCCATCACCGCTGGCGCCGCGTCCGAGAGGTTTATCTTTTCTTACCTCAAGAGCGGCGCGACGTTACCTACCGTGGCTGCTCTCCTCCTGGTGATTCTTGCCGTGGATCGCTTCACAAAACATCTCAGTGCCAAGACCCTGCGGCGGAACTTGACTGAGGGATCCGAGTTCTGGGAGAGAGGTTTGGCGGAGAGACAGCTTTCAGAGAAGTCGTTGGCAGGGAAGTCTTGACACGTGCACTCAAGACATTCCGGAGAGTCCGTCACAGCCTTCGTGTAAAGAACAACTTCCGACCGTTACTTATTTCATATTTCAGTCTGTACACCATAACGGCCTCACCATAACGGCCATCAGCGGGAAGCGGGGGTTTTTGGAAGGTAGAAGGGGTCCAGTCGTGACTCGACAAGTTCCTTTTGTATTAAAATTATGTCCAGGATTCAAGGACAACGAAGGGCATAGAGTCCACACGCTACAAGGCGTTTTCAGGGCTAGTACCTGTCAATTTAATCGCTTTAATGACTCCATCGAGGAGCTGGTTTCTACTTCTGTTCATGCTACCCGGTTTCTCAATCGTTGGACATTGTCTTGCTGTCTGCCAGTCGTCTCGAGCGGTATCTCCTCTCCTTGGGCTGGTTGGTCTAACAAGCCAGGGTTTCCTCGATCGACGCCGAGGACGGCTGCTTTTCTCTCGTCACTCAGATGATGTTCTGATACGAAGAGGTTGAGCACCAACGCCAGGCCCGAAAATGCGACATACTGCGTGCTTTCGTTAGCATTGAGTAAAGGGACGCAAACTTAACGCGGATTCTCGAGGCTATCGGTAATACGACACCTGACGATACTTTGGCATTGAGCATTCTCACTTACCATGATCCAAACTGTCTTGAGCGCTCTGAAGTAAGCCTGCCGCACAGGAACCTGCTGATCGGCGGAAAGCAAACCAATATCCTCAACATGGGCCGATGCATTCTCTCCATCAAACTGGCCAGCCAGCTCACCACCAATGACCTCAGCCAAACCCAGGTTCTCGGCCTTCATCTGGTTCTGAAAGACAACCCCACCAACAACGACAGAGATGGCCGTCGCAATAGACCGCAAGAAGCCCATAGTAGCCACCACAGCAGCGGTATCACGGACGGTAGTCGCAGCTTGCGCAGCCAACACCGGCGCCTCGATGTTCAGCCCCACGCCGATGCCGGTAAGGATCTGGAACGTAAACAGCTTCGCCAGGTTCTTGTCAAACTCGAGGTTGATGAGCAAACCCGTACCGGAAATCAGAAGTACCTGCGCCGCATACATAAGAACTCGATACCGCCCCGTCCGCTGAATAAACACACCAGCACACGCTGCAGATAACGAGCAAGACACAATCAGAGGCAGCATATACAGCCCGGACGTCAGGGCATTGGCGCCCAGCACAGCTTGGGAGTAGAGCGGTAGGTAATACGTGATACCGATAAAGACGTACGCGTTGAACGCGAAGACGCTGTATGCTGCCGCTTTCGACCAGCTTGAAAGCAGTCGAAGGGGCAGAACGGGGTTGGCGGCGAATTTCCATTCGTTTACGAGGAAGATGCCGATGGCAACGGCGCCGAAGACGATGAGGCAGATCACGGTAGCGGAGGACCAGGGGTGTACGACGTCGCCGAAATCGAGGGCGAGGAGGACCATTAGGGCTCCGCCCATGCAGAGTGCGCTTCCTGTCCAGTCTATGGCTTTTAGGCCTGCTAGAACTGGGGTGTTGGGTGAGGGGAGGTCGAGGAAGAAGACGAGGACGATGAAGACTACTCCGCCGATGGGCACTTTGAAAGTCAATTATCGGTAAATTTAGCTTTTGTGGAAGACTTACGATTGATCCAGAAACACCATCTCCAGCTATAAGAAAGGTGAAAGAGTCAGTAGAAGCAACAACAGCCGCGCCAGCAAAACTTACTTCAGCCGGGTAGTAAACACCCCACCAAGCACCGGCCCTACCGCACTCCCAACAGCCCAAATAAC